GGTCCCATGCGGGAAGTCGGTCCGGCTCCAGGTTTGGACCAGACCACCCTCGTCCAGCCGTGGAGGAGAGGCGAGCCGACCTCCGACACCTCTCTCGTCCTCGAGCAATGTCCACCCCACCACTGCCGTCGGCGCTGCACGCGGGTGGAAGGTCGAGAGGGTTCCCAGTCAAATCACAGACGACCTCAGTCCTGAGAGTGAGTCCGGACGGGGCGCCTGTAGCGGCGGAAGAACGCTGCGCCTAATAGCGTTCACATCTTCCTCCCCTGGGAGAGCGAGACAACTAAGGCGCACGCTGTGCGCTCAAACGCCGCATGGCCCGAACCCAGGCACACGAAGCAGCTGGAGTGCTGGTCCTTGCGCTGGAGGCTTGACCCGACCAGTCGAGCAAGCACGACTCCGTACGCCGGATGGCGAGGGGAACTCGGACGAGCATCAGAAGACATCTTATTCCTCAGGTAAAGATGAACGGTAGATCTCATATCGGCGCCAGAGTGAAGAGGGGGTGCGGCCTTGTGCAGGGCATTTATAGAGGAAGGGTGGCTGGTGATTGGAGCAAATTGTTTTGATCTCTCTGGCGTGCGACCTTGGGGGTCACGAGTGATATCCCACGAGCGAAGTCACCTAAGGGACTGACACCATGAACGTAGAACAAGTGTTCGCTAGGTAAGCGGGAACACTGTAGGACTGTCTGACGACACTTCACTCATTTCGATCCAACATTTCTGGAACATAAAATGCAAAGTCCCAACACAGGATGTTTTTTTGCCTGTGGTCTCGGAGCTCAGCGCCTCGCGGCTGAGTGTGTTCGGTGTCTGCGCTGTGGACTCGGGTCTGGCTTGGGTGTCAACTGAAAATATACAGTTTTGGTAAAGCTGCGGCAGGCAGACAAGTCATTCAAATATTTCCTCATGGAATTGGAAGCAGTTGGGACATGAGTTTGAACCCATGCCTTGCCACGTATAGACATAGGGCCCGTGGCACAGGATGAAAAACCATTAAGGCAAGGCAAGGCAAGTTTATCTTAGTAGAGCAACAATGTCATACACACCTCAAGGCAACCGCAAAGTGCCTTGACAAAACAGAGAGCATTAAAATCAAATAATAGAACACAGAACATTAAAAAGAAAGATAACAACAAAAATCCCTCCGTTTGTATCACAGCTAAACAACTGTCTTATTACCGGGTTTAAAAACATTGTCAGAGAGGATGCCCTGTCTCACATCTTCAGGAAAGACTGTTCCAGATTTTATCAGCATTATTCGAAATGCAGCCTCCCCATAGTTTTAGTTTTCTGACTCTGGGCCACAACAGGAGTCCAGTCCCTTTACTTTCGTTACAGTACTTTCGTGCATATTTCGGGTTTTTTCATTACCGGTCATTACTGTCTAGGGTTGTTGCCGGCTGCAGAATCCCCGTACTGAAAACTGCATGAGTGGCTTGTTTTACGCAATTTTGACGTGAGAATGTACTTGTGCGCACGAACCGCCATGTCCCCACCCCCCCCCCCCATATAGATCGTCTAATTGATCGGCTCATTTCAACGGTCCCGCTGATCACGGCAAATTATACCGTGATCGGCCCGATTAGACGCGGGTTTACCAATCCGATCGGGGTACCTCCACCTGATATAGTTACTTCCACTGTGGTGCTGACAAGTTTGAAGTAGGAACCATGGGAGGACAACGGATATGTAAAAGAACTACACCAACAAGGAGCTTTAGAGAATGTTTTTCAAAAATCTAGAAACCCAGCAATCCATTACAAGCAAACATGTCAACATTGCAAAACACATGCACTGAAAGGGTCTCAGGTTGTGCTGACCCGCTTGAGTTCAACTGCTATGTCCCCAAAAGTTTTAAGTTTAACAATCATAAGAAAGCAAATCATTAAACATCCCTGTGGAAACTACACCCAGAAATAGGTTTATCAACAGTCCTGAGTTTGAATGTTCTGTTTTCGTACTGTGGTGATGTCAACGGCGTAGTAGCGAAAGCTAATATTAACCTGAGCTTTTAGGCCACAGTTCTGGCTGCAGCTGTTACATTTGTTTACGTTTTTTAAGCACGACTGGTCAAGTGACCAAAGACGTACAGAGAGATTCAGTCATGTATCAAACTAAAGGATTCATTCCCTCTGCCACCCGCTTTGAAGTTTCCAGGAGTGACACAATATTTTCAGAAGGCTTCCTATGCTGGTGCTGAAAAATTGACTGCAATATATGATCTTCAACGCTAGATGGAGCAAAAACTACACCAGTATGTCCCAAATATTGTAGTCATTTATACTTTCAGGGACTAGATTTTTCAAAACCATAAATGTCATGGCTGTATTTTATACTTCTTTACAAAACAATGGTACAATCCGAGGTCTAAGTGAATGTCCATTATACGTTTTGAACTGTGAAGGAGGTTTTGGCTCAAAATAGTTGAGTTTATTCCAAATTCCTCTGGCTGATCATCCAGGTGATCTCTGGCTAACTTCGTTCGGGGCCTGGACATGCACTGCTCAGCTGTGTTACTGGGATGGTAACCTTTGTTACTTTGGTCCACGCTCTCTGCAGGTCAATCACCTGGTCCCCCCTGTGGTTCTGGGATTTTTGATCACCGTTCTCATGATCATGTTGACCGCCAACGGGATGATATCTTTGCATGGAGCCCCAGATCGAGGAGATTATCAGTGGTCCTTATAGGTCTTGGACCATTTCTGATAATGCTCCAAGTTGATTTTGTTCACACCAAAGCTGGCTTGCCCTCTTGTAGATTCACTCTTCTTCCCAGTCTGGTGCAGGGTCTACAAAAATTTTTATTTTCCTGGTGTCCTTCGACCAGCTCTTTGTCGTGGCCATAGTGAGTTAGGATCTGACTGTATGTGGCTGTGGACAGGTGTCTTTTATACAGGTCACGAGTGGAGGGACAGAAGAAGCTTCTTAAAGAAGAAGTTACCGGTCGGTGAGAGCCCAGAGATCTTCCTGTATGAAGTGACCAAATACTTAGTTTCCACCATAATGTTACAAATAACTTTCTTTAAAAAATCCTGATCCAATGTGAATTCCTGGATTTTTTTTTTCACATTCTGACTTCTTCACAGTTTAAGTGTACCTATGATGAAAATTGCCAGGACCTCCGTCCATTTAGTTTATAGTTGGAGAACTTTCACCAATAGGTGGGCTGACTTAAATTACTTTTTTTTTGCCCCACTGTATAGTAGCTGTTATTCATGTCCATAACTATACCCAATTTCCGTCCTTAATCACTTAGAAAAAACCATTTTCACACACTGGCGTACCCGAGATGATAGGGGCTTTGCTTGTGGTTCCACGGCTGCGCGCCACTGCAATTCTTAAAAACCAACATTACCTATAGATACTAGTAACCTATTTATACCCTCAAGCAAAATTCAAAACACTGCTGCACACCATGGCGTGACCCCCTGAATAATGTACTAGGTAGTGTATACTTCGGAACGTTCAAGTCAAAAGCTATTGTTTTTTGAAAACTGACTCTCTTTACATGATTGTACCTAAAAATAGGAGCAAAAGTCGTCATTGACTTTAAAAAATAAGTCAAATACAGTTTGAATTGCAGGATAACCCCCTTTAACAATTAGGGTTTTTATTCTTAAGCGGAAACAGCCAATCAGGAAAGACTTAGCATTCCCATGACAGTGGTCATTTGGGTTTGCCACGATGTGTTGTAGAAATCCAGGCTGGATTAAATCCTCTACCCAAAATCTCAATGACCCCTAAAGAGTTTTCAAAGGTTTCATGCACACGCTAAATTTAGAAATTCAGGAGTCATCAGTACAAACGCAAACGAATCATGTTATTTCAGGAAAGTTGCAAAATGGTGTTTGTCTCCATAATATTCATTGGTTGATCACATCTTTGAATCCCTGAAATGATGCCGCCACTAAAGTCCAAGCCAAGATTCTTTTCCCCGCATTATTTTTTGGCCAAAGCCGCAAAAACATTGTCAAAGCACCTTTGGCAGAGAAACCCAGGAGCATTGCGTTTTCAGACCACCTGCAAATGCACTCTATTTTCCCCATTTGGCTTGAAACCTCTTCTCATTGTTGGTTACTTTTTCTAATTCTCACCCTGTCACAAGACCTTCCCGGAAGGCCCGTATTAAATTAACAAATTATATGGACAAATCGCGCAGTGGACTTTAGTCTCAGTTACCATAGGATGATGCGAGCAAGGACCATCTGCCCATAATATCTCAAAACACACAGAAATCCATATTTCCAGCCCGAAAATGCAATTTAGCAAACCACCATCCCAGAGCAGATGTTCTTCTATAACCAGACTCACGTTAGCTGCTTTTAGACTCACGTTAGCTGCTTTTAGACTCACGTTAGCTGCTTTTAGACTCACGTTAGCTGCTTTTAGACTCACGTTAGCTGCTGACTTTTATGAACTTTTAGACTCACGTTAGCTGCTTTTAGACTCACGTTAGCTGCTTTTAGACTCACGTTAGCTGCTTTTAGACTCACGTTAGCTGCTTTTAGACTCACGTTAGCTGCTTTTAGACTCACGTTAGCTGCTTTTAGACTCACGTTAGCTGCTTTTAGACTCACGTTAGCTCTTTTAGACTCACGTTAGCTGCTTTTAGACTCACGTTAGCTGCTTTTAGACTCACGTTAGCTGCTTTTAGACTCACGTTAGCTGCTTTTAGACTCACGTTAGCTGCTTTTAGACTCACGTTAGCTGCTTTTAGACTCACGTTAGCTGCTTTTAGACTCACGTTAGCTGCTTTTAGACTCACGTTAGCTGCTTTTAGACTCACGTTAGCTGCTTTTAGACTCACGTTAGCTGCTTTTAGACTCACGTTAGCTGCTTTTAGACTCACGTTAGCTGCTTTTAGACTCACGTTAGCTGCTTTTAGACTCACGTTAGCTGCTTTTAGACTCACGTTAGCTGCTTTTAGACTCACGTTAGCTGCTTTTAGACTCACGTTAGCTTCTTTTAGACTCACGTTAGCTGCCCGCCAGCTTCATGGTCCCTGCCAGCTTCATGGTCCCTGCCAGCTTCATGGTCCTCCGTCTGCTTCATGGTGTGAAGTACTGTATTAACCAGTGCTGGACAAGTGACTTCCAAAACTATGTTACTTCAAATATACTTCAAAGTGTTGTGTTGCTACAATATTACTGCCTTTGTCAAGTATTACATTACTGCAGTACTTTGAAGTTATATTCCCCAAATATGTAAATACTAAATGTACAAACTCTGTCTCTCCCCCTCTCCCCCCCCCCCCTCCCCCCTCTCCCCCCCCCCCCCCCTCCCCCTCTCCCCCCCCCCCCCCCCCCCCTCTCTCTGTAGAAAAGCCGGCCTGATCCTTCAGCGTGTGGAGCACATCAGTCCGTACTGCCGCTCTCTCCTGTGCAGCGCTCACATCCAGAGCCGGTCCGACGCCGTGGCCACCGTGTCCTGCCGCTCGGAGGACCGCCCCCCCCGGCCCCTCCACCGCAGCCGCCTGTCCTGCACCGAACACCTGCTGTCGGTGCAGAGGAACACCTACAGCAGCACCAAACTGCGATGAGACACTCTCCTCTGCCGCCGCTCTGGGGGCCTCAGAGCTGGGGGGCCTCGGCGCTGGGGGGGCCCTCGGAGCTGGGGCCCCCTCTCTCGGCTAAAGCCACTGAACATTTTTAAAGTGGCGCATTTCGAGAATGGTGAAAGACACACTGCAAAAAGTGATACAATATGAGGTTGTAATGGTTTGAATCAAGTGTTTTTGTCTTAATTTGAGTCGATTCTGACTCATCTCTGGTCTCTCTCTAGTTTCTCTCTAGTTTCTCTCTGGCCTCTCTCTGGTCTCTCTCTGACCTCTCTCTGGTCTCTCTCTCTGGTCTCTCTCTGGTCTCTCTCTGGTCTTGCTCTGGTCTCTCTCTCTGGTCTCTCTCTGGTCTTGCTCTGGTCTCTCTCTGGTCTCTCTCTGGTCTCTCTCTGGTCTCTCTCTGGTCTCTCTCTGGTCTCTCTCTGGTCTCTCTCTGGTCTCTCTCTCTGGTCTCTCTCTGGTCTCTCTCTCTGGTCTCTCTCTGGTCTCTCTCTGGTCTCTCTCTGGTCTCTCTTCTCTGGTCTCTCTCTGGTCTCTCTCTGGTCTCTCTCTGGTCTCTCTCTGGTCTCTCTCTCTGGTCTCTCTCTGGTCTCTTTCTGGTCTCTCTCTGGTCTCTCTCTGGTCTCTCTCTGGTCTCTCTCTGGTCTCTCTCTGGTCTCTCTCTCTGGTCTCTCTCTGGTCTCTCTGGTCTCTCTCTGGTCTCTCTCTCTGGTCTCTCTCTGGTCTCTCTCTGGTCTCTCTCTGGTCTCTTCTGGTCTCTCTCTGGTCTCTCTCTGGTCTCTCTCTCTGGTCTCTCTCTGGTCTCTCTCTGGTCTCTCTCTGGTCTCTCTCTGGTCTCTCTCTGGTCTCTCTCTCTGGTCTCTCTCTGGTCTCTCTCTGGTCTCTCTCTGGTCTCTCTCTGGTCTCTCTCTGGTCTCTCTCTGGTCTCTCTCTGGTCTCTCTCTGGTCTCTCTCTGGTCTCTCTCTGGTCTCTCTCTCTGGTCTCTCTCTGGTCTCTCTCTGGTCTCTCTCTGGTCTCTCTCTGGTCTCTCTCTGGTCTCTCTCTGGTCTCTCTCTGGTCTCTCTCTGGTCTCTCTCTGGTCTCTCTCTCTGGTCTCTCTCTGGTCTCTCTCTGGTCTCTCTCTGGTCTCTCTCTCTGGTCTCTCTCTGGTCTCTCTCTGGTCTCTCTCTGGTCTCTCTCTGGTCTCTCTCTGGTCTCTCTCTGGTCTCTCTCTGGTCTCTCTCTGGTCTCTCTCTGGTCTCTCTCTGGTCTCTCTCTGGTCTCTCTCTGGTCTCTCTCTGGTCTCTCTCTGGTCTCTCTCTGGTCTCTCTCTGGTCTCTCTCTGGTCTCTCTCTGGTCTCTCTCTCTGGTCTCTCTCTGGTCTCTCTCTGGTCTCTCTCTGGTCTCTCTCTGGTCTCTCTCTGGTCTCTCTCTGGTCTCTCTCTGGTCTCTCTCTGGTCTCTCTCTGGTCTCTCTCTGGTCTCTCTCTGGTCTCTCTCTGGTCTCTCTCTGGTCTCTCTCTGGTCTCTCTCTGGTCTCTCTCTGGTCTCTCTCTGGTCTCTCTCTGGTCTCTCTCTGGTCTCTCTTGGTCTCTCTCTGGTCTCTCTCTGGTCTCTCTCTGGTCTCTCTCTCTGGTCTCTCTCTGGTCTCTCTCTGGTCTCTCTCTGGTCTCTCTCTGGTCTCTCTCTGGTCTCTCTCTGGTCTCTCTCTGGTCTCTCTCTGGTCTCTCTCTGGTCTCTCTCTGGTCTCTCTCTGGTCTCTCTCTGGTCTCTCTCTGGTCTCTCTCTGGTCTCTCTCTGGTCTCTCTCTGGTCTCTCTCTGGTCTCTCTCTCTGGTCTCTCTCTGGTCTCTCTCTGGTCTCTCTCTCTCTCTCTGGTCTCTCTCTGGTCTCTCTCTGGTCTCTCTCTGGTCTCTCTCTGGTCTCTCTCTGGTCTCTCTCTGGTCTCTCTCTGGTCTCTCTCTGGTCTCTCTCTGGTCTCTCTCTGGTCTCTCTCTGGTCTCTCTCTGGTCTCTCTCTGGTCTCTCTCTGGTCTCTCTCTGGTCTCTCTCTGGTCTCTCTCTGGTCTCTCTCTGGTCTCTCTCTGGTCTCTCTCTGGTCTCTCTCTGGTCTCTCTCTGGTCTCTCTCTGGTCTCTCTCTGGTCTCTCTCTGGTCTCTCTCTGGTCTCTCTCTGGTCTCTCTCTGGTCTCTCTCTGGTCTCTCTCTGGTCTCTCTCTCTGGTCTCTCTCTGGTCTCTCTCTGGTCTCTCTCTGGTCTCTCTCTGGTCTCTCTCTGGTCTCTCTCTGGTCTCTCTCTGGTCTCTCTCTGGTCTCTCTCTGGTCTCTCTCTGGTCTCTCTCTGGTCTCTCTCTGGTCTCTCTCTCTGTCTCTCTCTGGTCTCTCTCTCTGGTCTCTCTCTGGTCTCTCTCTGGTCTCTCTCTGGTCTCTCTCTGGTCTCTCTCTGGTCTCTCTCTGGTCTCTCTCTGGTCTCTCTCTGGTCTCTCTCTGGTCTCTCTCTGGTCTCTCTCTGGTCTCTCTCTGGTCTCTCTCTGGTCTCTCTCTGGTCTCTCTCTGGTCTCTCTCTCTGGTCTCTCTCTGGTCTCTCTCTGGTCTCTCTCTGGTCTCTCTCTGGTCTCTCTCTGGTCTCTCTCTGGTCTCTCTCTGGTCTCTCTCTGGTCTCTCTCTGGTCTCTCTCTGGTCTCTCTCTGGTCTCTCTCTGGTCTCTCTCTGGTCTCTCTCTGGTCTCTCTCTGGTCTCTCTCTGGTCTCTCTCTGGTCTCTCTCTGGTCTCTCTCTGGTCTCTCTCTGGTCTCTCTCTGGTCTCTCTCTGGTCTCTCTCTGGTCTCTCTCTGGTCTCTCTCTGGTCTCTCTCTGGTCTCTCTCTGGTCTCTCTCTGGTCTCTCTCTGGTCTCTCTCTGGTCTCTCTCTGGTCTCTCTCTGGTCTCTCTCTGGTCTCTCTCTGGTCTCTCTCTGGTCTCTCTCTGGTCTCTCTCTGGTCTCTCTCTGGTCTCTCTCTGGTCTCTCTCTGGTCTCTCTCTCTGGTCTCTCTCTCTCTGGTCTCTCTCTGGTCTCTCTCTGGTCTCTCTCTGGTCTCTCTCTGGTCTCTCTCTGGTCTCTCTCTCTGGTCTCTCTCTGGTCTCTCTCTGGTCTCTCTCTGGTCTCTCTCTGGTCTCTCTCTGGTCTCTTTCTGGTCTCTCTCTGGTCTCTCTCTGGTCTCTCTCTGGTCTCTTTCTGGTCTCTCTCTGGTCTCTCTCTGGTCTCTCTCTGGTCTCTCTCTGGTCTCTCTCTGGTCTCTCTCTGGTCTCTCTCTGGTCTTTCTCTGGTCTCTCTCTGGTCTCTCTCTTGGTCTCTCTCTGGTCTCTCTCTGGTCTCTCTCTGGTCTCTCTCTGGTCTCTCTCTGGTCTCTCTCTGGTCTCTCTCTGGTCTCTCTCTGGTCTCTCTCTCTGGTCTCTCTCTGGTCTCTCTCTGGTCTCTCTCTGGTCTCTCTCTGGTCTCTCTCTGGTCTCTCTCTGGTCTCTCTCTGGTCTCTCTCTGGTCTCTCTCTGGTCTCTCTCTCTGGTCTCTCTCTCTGGTCTCTCTCTGGTCTCTCTCTGGTCTCTCTCTGGTCTCTCTCTGGTCTCTCTCTGGTCTCTCTCTCTGGTCTCTCTCTGGTCTCTCTCTGGTCTCTCTCTGGTCTCTCTCTGGTCTCTCTCTGGTCTCTCTCTGGTCTCTCTCTCTGGTCTCTCTCTGGTCTCTCTCTGGTCTCTCTTGGTCTCTCTCTGGTCTCTCTCTCTGGTCTCTCTCTGGTCTCTCTCTGGTCTCTCTCTGGTCTCTCTCTGGTCTCTCTCTGGTCTCTCTCTGCTCTCTCTCTGCTCTCTCTCTCTGGTCTCTCTCTGGTCTCTCTCTGGTCTCTCTCTCTGGTCTCTCTCTGGTCTCTCTCTGCTCTCTCTCTGCTCTCTCTCTCTGGTCTCTCTCTGGTCTCTCTCTGGTCTCTCTCTGGTCTCTCTCTGGTCTCTCTCTGGTCTCTCTCTGGTCTCTCTCTGGTCTCTCTCTGGTCTCTCTCTGGTCTCTCTCTGGTCTCTCTCTGGTTGTGGCGTGTGTTGATGCAGAGACAACATGGACGATCCTTTGAATGTAAATTGTAGTTTTTCGGTGCTTTTTGCTCAATGGGGAATTATTTTCTACCGGAAATGTTTAGTATTTGCCTCGTTTGCCTTTAGTTTAAGTGAAGAGAGAGAAGAGGGGGGTCTCTCTCGTCTTTAAAAGCCATTTTACTGTTTTTTGTGTGAAATGTTTTTCTTTTGGTCAGGCGTTTCCACGGCGACAGGTTTGAGCCTGTGACATTTATGCAAAAACACACTTCACATTTGTACAGATGTTTTTGTAGTACACACACTACACACACACACACACACACGCACATGATACACATACACACACTACACACACATACACACTACACACACTAAACACACACACACACATGATACACACACATATACACACATGATACACACAGACACACATAATACACACATACACATTACACACACATGATACACATATACACACACGATACACACACATGATGCACACATACACACACACATGATACACACATACAAACACACACACACATGATACACACACACACAATACACACATACACACGTGATACACACATGATACACATACAATACAGAGAAACTGGAAGGTAACGCCCTGTTTACACCAGCCCCACTCCTCTACTCTACTCCAAAGCTAAGCAGGTCAGAGCCTGGTTAGTGCTGTGATGGGAGACCTCTGTGAACAGCAGGTGCCACAGTGGGGCGGCTGCGGCTGTAAAGTGCCAAACTGTGGTTGTGTCCTTAGGCAAGACACTTCCCCCACATTAGAATGAGTCTGGTGTGTGTGTGAATGGTTGGTGGTGGTGGGAGGGGCTTCTGTCAGTGTGCCCCAGGGCAGCTGTGGCTACAGTAGTTCATCACCACTGTGTTTGGAGAGAAATAATAATGATGTGAAGAGAGTTTGAGAGTCTGAAAAACACAACATAAAACCATTAAAGACATTATTATTATTATTATTATTATTATTATTGGAGTAGGACTGGTGGAAACGGGGCTTGCTGTACGTCAGTCACCAGACTTGTCCAGGGCCGGACAACGTGGATTGAAAAACTGTTCTGACTGGATTCAGGCTGTTTTGAGCTTTAAAACTAGCCATGGCAGAGCTGAAGTTGGCTGAATGACAACTGTTTACCATCTCACCAGCTGCACTCGCGACACAGGAGAATTTTGCGACAAATCAACAGCAAATGTCAGTAAAATATAAACAGATTTTAAGTGACCGGCTGAATTCTAGAGGTTCTGATCTTTACAACAAGGTGCAGCGTGTCTGTAGTGGCTGAGCTGAAGTTGGCTGGATGACTGGTTGGTAAATGGCGAAGCAGGGGCCACGTACCATGACGCAGAGGACCGCAATGTGCTCGTGGGCCTCGGTTTGGACAGGCCTGGTGCAGCTCCTGTGAGGACCTAGACTGCACTCGCAAAGAAAACATATTTATTTATTTATTATTTATATGTTATTTATTCAATTATTTAAAAGTCTTCGTCACTACAAAGTTAGTGACATTGTCTTTGTCTGTTTTCACTTTAAAACCAAGGATATAGTTTTAAAAATGCCTTTAAATACGTCCCGAGGTCGGGGCTGAGCATACAGTACAGAGCAAAAGTGTGGACACCCTCTCTCCTTCACTGAGTTCTTTTCATGACTATCGCTGTAGACCCGCACCAGGCTGTGAAAGGGCCCGACCTGAACCCAGTCCAGGTGGTTTTGGACCTGAACCCAGTCCAGATGGTTTTGGGGCTGGACCACAGAGTGAAGGGGCCAACAAGTGCTAAGCATCATGGGAACTCCTTCCAGACTGTTGGAGACCATTTCAGGTCCTGTTGAAGCTCATCCAGAGAATGCCAAGAGTGAAGCAGTATCAGAGCAAAATGTTCTACTTTGAAGAACCAGAATATAACACATGTTTACACTTGGTTCATACTTTTTTACTACGAACATAATTCACATGAGTTCATCATAGGTTTGAGGCCCCCAGTGTCAGTCTACATTTTTATAATCATGAAAATAAAAAAGTTTTTGAATGAGAAGGTGTCCAAACTTTTGGTCCGTGCTGTACATCTGTAACATGCGTGTGGCTTTGTCTTTTATCATGTGAAATATTAAAAATGTACATACGATATTTTCTTTCTCAAACGTTAAAAAACACGACAAATGTCCGTTTTTTTCTCTTTTGGAAGAGATCAATAAATACTTCTTTACAAATGCACCGGTCACATGGTCTTCTCTGGCTTCTCCTGGTGTCGGGTCGGAAGCAGTGGGACGGGGCTGGAACCCATGGATTTTTATGCGAGAATCAACAAAATACTATGATGTGGTCAAAAGAAAAAACATGATCTGATCATTGATCAGTGTGCAGCGTCAGACGGGAATGAACCTGAAGTAAAACATTAACAGAGACTGAAGTTATCTGTCAGTCCGTTTGTCTTGACAAAATCACAAAATAAGATCTAAACCATAGATGTTTTAAGTTACTGAGCCAGAGGAGTTTCCACAGAAGTCAGAAGGAGCCAGAGAGAGTTGGAGCTAGCGCGTTAGCATTGTTAGCATCTGTACAGTTTATGGATCATAGTTATATTGTAGCTTCTCGCTGGATATTGTTGCCCTGAGCGTCTGAGGAGCACAGCACAGAGGTCGGGGAGAGAAGTTTAAATCATGGTTTGGTTTTTAGACAGAACATTTATTTCAACGTCACAAAAGACAGGATTGAACAGAAGATAGAGTGAAATATGTTCTAGAACCTGCAGTGAAGCAGGTTCATGGTTTTACACTGGTCCAGACCAGAGCAGAGAGGATTCATGGTTTTACACTGGTCCAGACCAGAGCAGAGAGGATTCATGGTTTTACACTGGTCCAGACCAGAGCAGAGAGGATTCATGGTTTTACACTGGTCCAGACCAGAGCAGAGAGGGTTCATGGTTTTACACTGGTCCAGACCAGAGCAGAGAGGATTCATGGTTTTACACTGGTCCAGACCAGAGCAGAGAGGATTCATGGTTTTACACTGGTCCAGACCAGAGCAGAGAGGATTCATGGTTTTACACTGGTCCAGACCAGAGCAGAGAGGATTCATGGTTTTACACTGGTCCAGACCAGAGCAGAGAGGATTCATGGTTTTACACTGGTCCAGACCAGAGCAGAGAGGATTCATGGTTTTACACCGGTCCAGACCAGAGCAGAGAGGATTCATGGTTTTACACTGGTCCAGACCAGAGCAGAGAGGATTCATGGTTTTACACCGGTCCAGACCAGAGCAGAGAGGATTCATGGTTTTACACTGGTCCAGACCAGAGCAGAGAGGATTCATGGTTTTACACTGGTCCAGACCAGAGCAGAGAAAATGGACTAAACCGAGCTCCTGCTGTGACCTGAAGGATTGATGCTTTTTATTATTATTGTTAACTTTTTAAATAATTTATTTGTTTTGTTTGGATGTGTTTCTGCTGCTCCTGGACTCCTGCATGTCTCCAACTGGGATCATTAAAGTATCTCTAACTGACAGAGAGGGTTTGTTCTAAACAAATAACTTGCCTGCCCATGGACCAGCGGCTCTTTGTGTTTGTCAGAATCACTTTCCTCTGGTTGTGATTCAGAGCCGCACAAACACACATGGACTAGAGCCGCACAAACACACATGGACTAGAGCCGCACAAACACACATGGACTAGAGCCGCACAAACACACATGGACTAGAGCCGCACAAACACACATGGACTAGAGCCGCACAAACACACATGGACTAGAGCCGCACAAACACACATGGACTAGAGCCGCACAAACACACATGGACTAGAGCCGCACAAACACACATGGACTAGAGCCGCACAAACACACATGGACTAGAGCCGCACAAACACACATGGACTAGAGCCGCACAAACCGACGCCTTCTCTGCGTAAACGACAGTCTCAGCCTCGACATGTGCTGCTGGAAGTATTTTCTTTTTCCGTCTCCTTCGACAAACGGCTCCTTTAAGCTCAGGTCCACTTTCCAGTCATGCAACATTAACTGCACTTTAAAACCAGTAGCTTGATGTTCATTCTCACAAATTAGGCCATTAACGTCATCCGTGTGCCAGCCTCCCCCAGCCGCCCCCCCCTGCCAGCCGCCAGCCTCCCCCAGCCGCCCCCCCCTGCCAGCCGCCAGCCTCCCCCAGCCGCCCCCCCCTGCCACCCGCCCGCCTCCCCCTGCCGCCCGTCCGCCTCCCAGCCGCCCGCCTCCTCGCACCACCCGCCTCCCCGCACCACCCGCCTCCCCGCGCCGCCCGCCTCCCCGCGCCGCCCGCCTCCCCGCACCACCCGCCTCCCCGCGCCGCCCGCCTCCCCGCGCCGCCCGCCTCCCCGCACCACCCGCCTCCCCGCGCCGCCCGCCTCCCCGCGCCGCCCGCCTCCCCGCGCCGCCCGCCTCCCCGCACCGCCCGCCTCCCCGCGCCGCCCGCCTCCCCGCGCCACCCGCCTCCCCGCACCACCCGCCTCCCCGCACCACCCGCCTCCCCGCGCCGCCCGCCTCCCCGCACCACCCGCCTCCCCGCGCCGCCCGCCTCCCAGCGCTCGTAAATAGCTCGTATTTGTATTTACAGACAGACTGAAACTGAGCTCGAGCATTCGACTTTACACGAAAGACATTACGCACTTTGAACTAGCGTGTTAGCATCGTCCATCTACAAACAGTTTATGGACTTAAAATAGTTTTGTTTTAGCTTCTTGCTGGATATTGTTGCCCCGGAAGTCCGAGGAGAACGCAGGAAGGAGGTCGGGCAGAAAGTTTGGGAGAAGTTTAAATCATGGTCTGGTTTTACTCGAGTCTGGATCAACTGCAAACCTACCAAGGCACGGCCGCATGTGGCAGCTGGTTGCCTGTAGGGGGCAGTATAGGAGTATATGGTAAAACACATGGTCTAATTGTACTGAAAAAGGTAGTTTTAAAAGAACACAGACACAGACACTTTTAACCAGTGTTTTATTTCCACATAATAAATGACAGCAAAATGAACAATGAGACTCTCTTCTCTCACGACGTCCTTATGAAAATATAGAACACACTGAACATCTTTTATGCCATGTACCAGAGCACCAAAATATATACCGACCGGAACACATCATAAAATATGTGCCTGAAAAAGTGCATTGTGTTGCCGAGACAACGGGATCAAAGAGAAACGAGCTCAAAGGAAAGGTCTGTGGGAAGAAGTCTGGTTTCACCGCGTTCTTTTCGACAAATAAATATCTGCGGACGGAAGTCGATGGTTGTGTAGTGTGTGGTGCCAGAGTGTGTGCAGAGGAGTGTGTGGTGTGATGTCGCACTACAGCTGTATTTTTATCCATAGATTTTTTTATCCAGCTGGGAGGTGATACTTTGACACTATGCACAATAAGATAGTCACGGTTCTTTCTTTGAATAATAATCATGATACAAATCAGGACAAGAGTCACTCCCGTTACACTCAGTACATGGTCTGCAAATACAATCATTTATCATATTTACATCTTAAAATATATTTGTTGCGCAACAGGGTACGAAATATTGCAATTGTACTACTTTATATCCACATAATATGTAAATACACTTTTCTGTATTTTCCCATTTCATAAAAAAGGGGTTTTTTCTTTTTATATTGACTTTTTTTCTACTTTTATTTCTTTTTTTTTTACAGTCATCGACTATTCTGTAGCAGAGGCCTGTGAGAGGTACTTCTGTGTTCAATACACAAAGACAAGATGGCACATTAGTATACTTTGTTACCCCGAAAACAATCAGCGTTTCAGTCGCTCTCAGATCCCACTGAGGCCTGGGTCTCAGACAGATCCCACTGAGGCCGGGGTCTCAGACAGATCCCACTGAGGCCGGGGTCTCAGACAGATCCCACTGAGGCCGGGGTCTCAGACAGATCCCACTGAGGCCGGGGTCTCAGACAGATCCCACTGAGGCCTGGGTCTCCAACCTGCCACTGTCAGAGCTGCTTTTAAAGAACAGAAATGACAGAGAGCTATTCCTTTAGCAGTTAGCTAACTAGTTAGTTTAGTAGTTGTAATAAAAGTGTGGTCTATGTAGTAACTAAAGCCAGACGTGGATAATAAACTGTTCTTCTGTGCAGCAGACGTCAACATCGTGGGATTAATCCGGCTCGAAAGACCAGTTTTAGCGGCTCCTAAAATTGTTTTCTATTATTATCATCAACTTGTAGCTTTGATGGTATTGGACTGCCCTGGCATGTTATACATCATCTATGTTCTCTAAATTCAACCCAAAACATCACTTAAATAGTTCAATATAAACGTTTAAATAAATGATAAAAATACACTGAATAATTGCTTGAATAAAATGTTTTTATCTTAACTTGAACACATTTAGACTGTGTTAAAACAAGATATTTTGCCTGTTTCATCGACAACAGAATGTCCTCAAATTAAGATAAAAACACTGGATTTTTGTACCTTATATTTTATCATTTTTTGCAGTGAAAGAATGTATTTAACTTTATATTTGGTCCAGTTTTGGTTCAGTTAAACAATGAACAAATTTTGTTTTCAGACAAATCAACTAGAAAATAATAGTGCAACTCATGTCACAGAAAAGTTATGTCAAAAATCCTTCATAATAAAAAAACTATCATAACAAAAGGAAATCCCTTCGATTCTTTCAGCCTCCGACAAAAATGAGTTTGCACTTCTGCTGCACAGTCTCCCAGCATGAATATAAACATGTTTAATTAGTCAAAAGTGATCATCTGATAAATTCTTGAATTCTGTGTTGGAGCTCCCTGGGGGGGTTGGTGAGCTACGTTCAGGCTGGAGCTCCCTGGGGGGGTTGGTGAGCTACGTTCAGGCTGGAGCTCCCTGGGGGGTTGGTGAGCTACGTTCAGGCTGGAGCTCCCTGGGGGGTTGGTGAGCTACGGTCAGGCTGGAGCTCCCTGGGGGGTTGGTGAGCTACGTTCAGGCTGGAGCTCCCTGGGGGGTTGGTGAGCTACGTTCAGGCTGGAGCTCCCTGGGGGGTTGGTGAGCTACGGTGAGGCTGGAGCTCCCTGGGGGGTTGGTGAGCTACGGTGAGGCTGGAGACCCCTGGGGGGGGTTGGCAAGCTACAGTCAGGTTGGAGACCCCTGGGGGGGGTTGGCGAGCTACAGTCAGGTTGGAGACCCCTGGGGGGGTTGGCGAGCTACAGTCAGGTTGGAGACCCCTGGGGGGGTTGGCGAGCTACAGTCAGGTTGGAGACCCCCTGGGGGGGGTTGGCGAGCTACAGTCAGGTTGGAGACCCCTGGGGGGGGTTGGCGAGCTACAGTCAGGTTGGAGACCCCTGGGGGGGGTTGGCGAGTTACAGTCAGGTTGGAGCTCCCTGGGGGGGAGGGTTGGCGAGCTACAGTCAGGTTGGAGCTCCCTGGGGGGGGTTGGCGAGCTACAGTCAGGTTGGAGCTCCCTGGGGGGGGTTGGCGAGCTACAGTCAGGTTGGAGACCCCTGGGGGGGGTTGGCGAGCTACAGTCAGGTTGGAGACCCCTGCTCTAAAGCTTCTGCGTTTGTGAAAAGACGTTGCGAGCCAGGCACAAATCAGTGCTTTCTTTGTGCGAACCAGAGGACAGAGAGAGAGAGTGTGGTGTGGGGTAAGCCTGGTGCAGGGGAGACTCATGGGACCAGGTGAACGGCAGGTCGGGGTGAGGGGAGGTGAGGGGAGGTGAGGGGAGGTGCCACCCCAGGACAGAAACTCTGACTCACGTCCTCTGCCCATATAAACGTAGTGTTGGGCGCAGCGCCAGTGGCCACAGCCTGTGAGTACACAGTCTAACACCTGGACAAACACAGTCCCAGGCCAGGAACTACACCGTCCCAGGGCACCTCCACCCCCCCCCCCCCCCCCCCCCCCCCCTCCCCCCCTGCCCCACAGAGATGTTCCGATACTGCCTTCACTTCAACCCCACCTTTGCACAGAAGCCTGGCGTGCACTCAGCAAAGACAAACATTACATTCTGGTTCTGGAACAAAAGGACAAAATGATCATTCACTGGATTGGAGTGCCACGCTAACGGACTGCCACGCTAACGGACTGCCACGCTAACGAAGTGCCACGCTAACGGACTGCCACGCTAACGGAGTGCCACGCTAACGGACTGCCACGCTAACGGACTGCCACGCTAACGGAGTGCCACGCTAATGGAGTGCCACGCTAACGGAGTGCAACGCTAATGGACTACCACGCTAACGGAGTGCCACGCTGACGAAGTGCCACGCTAACGGAGTGCCACGCTAACGGACTACCACGCTAACGAAGTGCCACGCTAACGGAGTGCCACGCTAACGGAGTGCCACGCTAACGGACTACCACGCTAACGGAGTGCCACGCTAACGAAGTGCCACGCTAACGAGTGCCACGCTAACGGAGTGCCACGCTAACGGAGTGCCACGCTAACGGACTACCACGCTAACGGAGTGCCACGCTAACGAGTGCCACGCTAACGAGTGCCACGCTAACGCCTCCTTCAGCTCATTTCATCGTTCCCGCCTCGCCGTCACTCGCCTATCCATTGCACGGTTCAAATGACTTCAACTTGTATACATAAACAAAGCAAAATAACTTACATTGAGTTTTAAATATAACTTAAAAAAGTATAACACTCTTAATAAATAATTCTAGTATTTACACCATTGAGAAGAAACATAGAAGCAGCAAACGTTACAGTCATGAGGTACAGCAAGAAGTCTCGTGTTGCCTGCGAACATCCCACACACAATTCTTCAACGTCTCTTGTTGATCTGAGGATTGAGAGTATTCACACCGAGCAAAGTCTGTTGCCAGATTGGAGGATGTGTATAAGGCTGGAATGGTTTCCCAGTGATGGTGAAGCAGATGAGGAACCACAGTACTGCATGTCATTGGTCAAAGTGAAGGTCCGTATAAAGCAGATATGTGGAGTACAAGTACAAGTTTAACCGTTATATATAGATAGGATATTTTATACAAAGAGTTCATACAATCTCAGATGAAGATGCAGCCCTAAGCGCATCTCATAAAAACAGGGAGTGTCTTCGTATTAACTATTTCCGAGTTTTCCCCTTTTCTGTTTAGTTTTTCTCCCAAAATATACACCGTCATATCTCTGCACACACATACACACATAAGACATACGATAGCGACCTTAGCTGTTTCACGACATCGACACGATACAGACTGAGGGCAAGGGGTGTTCAACTGGGGTCCTCGGTGTCTGTCGGCGTGGTTGCGGGTCTTTGTTCCAACCAAGCAGGAGCGCAGTAGACTCCACCCATTTCTGCAAGTGAGCCCAATTCAACACAATTCAGTCTGAAGCTGAGGACTGGAGGACATGGGTGGAGTGTGGTGTGTGCGTCTTGCATGGTTGGAATGAAGACCCGCAGCCCATGACGGTTGATCCACCTCCAATTCACCAAAATGACACAGATAAAGCACGACTCAAGGCTACAAGAAGAACGGGACAAATCGCCAAATATATAGTTGGCTTCAATGGCGGTTATCATAATAATAGCAGCTTCTAAACCAGCGGTGTTCAACTCGAATCCTCAAAGGGCCGGTGTGGGTGCAGGTTTTCACTCCAAACAAGCAAGCCTGAGCACACCAGACTCCACCCATCTCAAATCGTTCAGACCGGGCTCAGTCTAGGACGTGGGCGGAGTCTGGTCCCTCTCTTTCTGGTCTCTCTGGTGTGCTCCTGCTTGGTTGGAATGAAAACCCGCGACCCCACCGACCCTGTGAGGACCCAGTTCAACTCCCCTGTTCTAAACCATTGGACATACGCATCATTCTTTCTTCTTACATGGCAACGAAAGTGCAGTAACTGAGGTCAATAATACAAATACTGATTAAATATTCAGTTAAAAAAAAAGAAAGAGAAAAGAAAACAGAATATTTACAAGATAATATTTTGATTTTGTGGTTTTGGTTTTTCTGTGACGTCGTTAAAGGGTTGCAGGTGTTTTCCGAAACATACCACGGCCTTCACGGTGCTTCACCATCAGCCACGGTGACAGTGTGAAGAGGAAATAGCAGCAAAATTCGGTTCAATTTACATAAAACCGCTCAAAACACTATTTGTGGCCGGACAGAAAACCGGTGTTAGGCTTTAGTATGTGACGGAAACTGAGGCAAAATATTAACAACAAGCAGGTCTTCGGTTCGAATCCACCTCCAGGCCTTTTCTGTACCATTAAAAACCCATCGATTAAGTCTGAGTGTAATCAGTGAGTTGGAAAAAAAGCACCTACACAATCACTATATCCTTGAATTCAGACGATATTCCGAGGCTAATTTTGAAGTAAGTCGTACAAAAACCGCCGAAACAAAACTGCAAAAATACCTCGGTAGTTGCTCAAAAACGCAATCTCGTTTTTTGAGCCCACAAATCTCCGTCATGCGGCTACATTCTACACAAAGCTAGGCGTAAAAAAACGTCTGCTACGAGAGAGAGCGGTGTTTAAAGGGGACCTCTGTAAAGCCATGCATTGTTGTTGTAGCTGCTCTTCTCACTCATGGTTTGAACATATATTGTATAGTTTGTGTGGCTACAGTTCGCACACTAACATGCACAGACACAGGAGCCATGCTGATGATGGTTCCACTACACCATGGGTTTGCGTTTGGGCCGTGAACTCAGAGTGAAAAGACTTCGTACAGTACTCTCTGGACCAAAAGGCTTTTTCTAAGATTCTGCTTCACTTTTATCTCTTGGTTCTGCGACATCACAGACAGGGAGAGGAGAGCTCTAAACAAGGTGCCCTGGACTGCTTCTGGTCTGGTCCTGGATGGGTCTTAGACTGGTCCTGGTCTGGTGTTGGACTGGTGTTTGAATCCATTGAACTGAATGAGAGTCCTAGAGTCTAAAGTCCAGAGTCTAAAGTCAAGGGTCTAAAGTCCAGGGTCTAAAGTCCAGGGTCTAAAGTCCAGGGTCTAAAGTCCAGGGTCTAAAGTCCAGGGTCTAAAGTCCAGAGTCTAAGGTCCAGAGTCTAAAGTCCAGGGTCTAAGTCCAGGGTCTAAAGTCAAGGGTCTAAAGTCCAGGGTCTAAAGTCCAGAGTCTAAAGTCCATAGTCTAAAGTCCAGGGTCTAAAGTCCAGAGTCTAAAGTCCAGGGTCTAAAGTCCAGAGTCTAAAGCCCAGAGTCTAAAGTCCAGAGTCTAAAGCCCAGAGTCTAAAGTCCAGAGTCTAAAGCCCAGAGTCTAAAGCCCAGAGTCTAAAGCCCAGAGTCTAAAGTCAAGGGTCTAAAGTCCAGAGTCTAAAGTCCAGGGTCTAAAGTCCAGAGTCTAAAGTCCAGGGTCTAAAGTCCAGAGTCTAAAGTCCAGAGTCTAAAGTCCAGAGTCTAAAGTCCAGAGTCTAAAGCCCAGAGTCTAAAGTCCAGAGTCTAAAGTCAAGGGTCTAAAGTCCAGAGTCTAAAGTCCAGAGTCTAAAGTCCAGAGTCTAAAGTCCAGAGTCTAAAGTCTAAAGTCCAGTCTAAACCGTCCATCTGCAGGTTTTCACGCTGTTACACTACAACATGAAAACCTGCGGCTTATATTCAAGTGGAAAACCTGGACTTTCTTTCCAGTTGAGGCTTTTAGACCGGTTTCAGAGTCTGGAGCTTTCCCTTTCAAACAAAAATAACTAAAACTGTTCAGAATCTGACCCAAACAGAGACTTTAAAAAACTACTGCTCTTTTCTGTTTTTTACTCTAATGTTTGCTCTTGTTTTTATTTTTCCCGCCGTGAGTTTCCCAGAGCAACAATAAAGTTTACCTTATCTTAGTCCAGCAAGTACTGTAGTCCGAGTGGGACCACCATGTGTTCGGGTCCCGGGGAAGGATCAACAAATCTTCCTAACATCGAATTAGCAGAAACTACCTGCATGACTTCACATAAACCGTAATACTTTGGTTCAATAAAATCTTTCGGCTAAAAAGCTAATCTCAAACGACCGCACGCTACGACCAGAAAACGTTCCAGTTTTAACGAGTTTTGATCACATTTTTATCTCTGGTGTGTACTTGCTAGTGTCCTTAAACCCCGTAGCACCCTCGGCTACAAACAAGGAAAACAAAAGTTCAAAGGTTATGGCAAAAGAAGGAGGACTTTTTGGTTGCACCCACGAACCCACAGAAGCTAATATGCTACGTTGCTAATATGCTACGTTGCTAAATTTGGTCATGGATGCTACGTTCCAAATAGGTCTTTACAGCAAATGTTTGGACGTCTGGGTCCTACGGGGTTAACGATACAGCTCCAAATACCAGGAAGGAGGTTCTGAGGTCGAGTCTCGCTCCGGTGTAAGCAGGACGTCTGAACTGATCGTGGATGAATGGAGAGGTATGCCTGTTAAAGCAGCATGTGCAGGAAACCCAGGGTCAAGGAAAGAATGAAGCCGGAGGTCTCCCCGTCTGTGCGGTCCTGGTCCTGGTCCTAGTCCTGGTCCTGATCCGGATCCTGGTCTTGGTCCGGGTACTGATCCTGGTCAGCCCATACGCCTCTCCTTTCTGTTTTCCGGTGCGTTGGGATCTCGGCATGAACACTCGTCTCGCATGTCGCAGGACATGGGGAAAGGAACGACCTGAAAGACAGAGACACAAGGTTTTATAAGCACCAGGTTCATGTTATTATTCAAGTCAGTCTTTTTCTCTATCGCCCTAAATCACAACAGTTTCTCAGACGAACCGACAAAACTGTGGATTCACCGACACAGATCAGAGAATCACAGCGTTCACACACAGGTAATGCAGCGATACAAACACAGAGAGACGTCAATAACTGCTACTGTAGCCACAGCTGCCCTGGGGCACACTGACAGAAGCGAGGCAACCAGTCTGAGAGACCAGAGAGAGAGAGACCAGAGAGAGAGACCAGAGAGAGAGACCAGAGAGAGAGCACAAGAGAGAGAGACCAGAGAGAGAGATCAGAGAGAGAGACCAGAGAGAGAGACCAGAGAGAGAGACCAGAGAGAGAGACCAGAGAGAGAGATCAGAGAGAGAGATCAGAGAGAGAGACCAGAGAGAGAGATCAGAGAGAGAGACCAAAGACCAGAGAGAGAGACCAGAGAGAGACCAGAGAGAGACCAGAGAGAGAGACCGGAGAGAGAGACCAGAGAGAGAGACCAGAGAGAGACCAGAGAGAGAGACCAGAGAGAGACCAGAGAGAGAGACCAGAGAGAGACCAGAGAGAGAGACCAAAGAGAGAGACCGGAGAGAGAGAGACCAGAGAGAGAGACCAGAGAGAGAGACCAGAGAGAGAGACCAGAGAGAGAGACCAGAGAGAGACCAGAGAGAGAGACCAGAGAAAGACCAGAGAGAGACCAGAGAGAGACCACAGAGAGACCAGAGAGAAACCAGAGAGAGAAACCAGAGAGAGACCACAGAGAGACCAGAGAGAGAAACCAGAGAGAGACCAGAGAGAGACCAGAGAGAGAGACCAGAGAGAGACCAGAGAGAGAGACCAGAGAGAGACCAGAGAGAGAGACCAGAGAGAGACCAGAGAGAGAGACCAAAGAGAGAGACCAAAGAGAGAGACCAGAGAGAGACCAGAGAGAGAGACCAGAGAGAGAGACCAGAGAGAGACCAGAGAGAGAGACCAAAGAGAGAGACCGGAGAGAGACCAGAGAGAGAGACCAGAGAGAGAGACCAGAGAGAGAGACCAGAGAGAGAGACCAGAGAGAGAGACCAGAGAGAGACCAGAGAGAGAGACCAGAGAAAGACCAGAGAGAGACCAGAGAGAGACCACAGAGAGACCAGAGAGAAACCAGAGAGAGAAACCAGAGAGAGACCACAGAGAGACCAGAGAGAGAAACCAGAGAGAGACCAGAGAGAGAGACCAGAGAGAGACCAGAGAGAGAGACCAGAGAGAGACCAGAGAGAGAGACCAGAGAGAGAAACCAGAGAGAGAGACCAGATAGAGACCAGAGAGAGACCAGAGAGAGAGACCAGAGAGAGACCAGAGAGAGACCAGAGAGAGAGACCAGAGAAAGACCAGAGAGAGACCAGAGAGAGACCACAGAGAGACCAGAGAGAAACCAGAGAGAGAAACCAGAGAGAGACCACAGAGAGACCAGAGAGAGAAACCAGAGAGAGACCAGAGAGAGAGACCAGAGAGAGACCAGAGAGAGAGACCAGAGAGAGAGACCAGAGAGAGAGACCAGAGAGAGAAACCAGAGAGAGAGACCAGATAGAGACCAGAGAGAGACCAGAGAGAGAGACCAGAGAGAGAGACCAGAGAGAGACCAGAGAGAGAGACCACAGAGAGACCAGAGAGAGAAACCAGAGAGACCAGAGAGAGAGACCAGAGAGAGACCAGAGAGAGACCAGAGAGAGACCAGAGAGAGAGACCAGAGAGAGACCAGAGAGAGAGACCAGAGAGAGACCAGAGAGAGACCAGATAGAGACCAGAGAGAGAGACCAGAGAGAGACCAGAGAGAGAGACCAGAGAGAGAAACTAGAGAGAGAGACCAGATAGAGACCAGAGAGAGACCAGAGAGAGAGACCAGAGAGAGACCAGAGAGAGAGACCAGAGAGAGAGATCAGAGAGAGAGATCAGAGAGAGAGACCAAAGACCAGAGAGAGAGACCAGAGAGAGACCAGAGAGAGAGACCAAAGAGGGAGACCGGAGAGAGACCAGAGAGAGAGACCAGAGAGAGAGACCAGAGAGAGAGACCAGAGAGAGAGACCAGAGAGAGACCAGAGAGAGAGACCAGAGAAAGACCAGAGAGAGACCAGAGAGAGACCACAGAGAGACCAGAGAGAAACCAGAGAGAGAAACCAGAGAGAGACCACAGAGAGACCAGAGAGAGAAACCAGAGAGAGACCAGAGAGAGAGACCAGAGAGAGACCAGAGAGAGAGACCAGAGAGAGACCAGAGAGAGAGACCAGAGAGAGAAACCAGAGAGAGAGACCAGATAGAGACCAGAGAGAGACCAGAGAGAGAGACCAGAGAGAGACCAGAGAGAGAGACCAGAGAAAGACCAGAGAGAGACCAGAGAGAGACCACAGAGAGACCAGAGAGAAACCAGAGAGAGAAACCAGAGAGAGACCACAGAGAGACCAGAGAGAGAAACCAGAGAGAGACCAGAGAGAGAGACCAGAGAGAGACCAGAGAGAGAGACCAGAGAGAGAAACCAGAGAGAGAGACCAGATAGAGACCAGAGAGAGACCAGAGAGAGAGACCAGAGAGAGAGACCAGAGAGAGAGACCAGAGAGAGAGACCACAGAGAGACCAGAGAGAGAACGAGAGACCAGAGAGAGACCAGAAGAGAGAGAGACCAGAGAGAGACCAGAGAGAGACCAGAGAGAGACCAGAGAGAGAGACCAGAGAGAGAGACCAGAGAGAGAGACCAGAGAGAGAGACCAGAGAGAGACCAGAGAGAGACCAGAGAGAGACCAGAGAGAGAGACCAGAGAGAGAGACCAGAGAGAGAGACCAGAGAGAGACCAGAGAGAGAGACCAGAGAGAGAGACCAGAGAGAGAGACCAGAGAGAGAGACCAGAGAGAGAGACCAGAGAGAGAGACCAGAGAGAGACCAGAGAGAGAGACCAGAGAGAGAGACCAGAGAGAGAGACCAGAGAGAGAGACCAGAGAGAGACCAGAGAGAGACCAGAGAGAGAGACCAGAGAGAGAGACCAGAGAGAGAGACCAGAGAGAGAGACCAGAGAGAGAGACCAGAGAGAGAGAGACCAGAGAGAGAGACCAGAGAGACCTGGTTTATTGTCAAAATAGAGGGAGGTGAATGAGTCCTGGAAGCGAACGGTGAAACTGCCAAAGAACTCGTCATGAACTGCAATTTTTTTCAAATCCTCAAAACCGGGAAAGAAGTGCATCATCTCATCTTATCTTTGGGCCTAAAACCTAAATATTTGCGTTTTCCTCTGAACTTTTGAACCGGGTCTGTTGCCTCTCTGTGGCCTGTGTTGTGTAAGCGCTTCCCGTCGCAGTGACTCATGAACGTGTGGGAGTGTGGATCACAGGGTTTGAAGCGGAACAAGGTCAGAGCAGAACCGAGAATCAGGAAATATAAAGAACTGGTCCACAAATACCACATGTGGGTCACGTACGGACACACACACACACACACACACAAATACAGTCAACAATGTCAAACTATAAGCAGCACTTGTATATAAGCCACACCACATGCATTTTTAAAGAATCACTGTTGTCCACAAATAGGCCGCACCTGAATATAAGCCTCATGTTGTAGCAGAGAGACGACTGCTGCAAAGTTTTAATGACAAGGTGTTTAAACGTTAGCTTCCAGGACTCATTCACCTTCATCTGTTTCAACGATAAACCAGTGTCCTGTAGCTACTGAAACTGGATGGAGTCTCGCGGCCCGTACACACCACAGAATCATGTGAAGCAAGGAGACGCAGCAGCACGCCGCAGCAGTACGGCGCAGCCGTACGGCGCAGCAGCACGCCGCAGCAGCACGCCGCAGCAGCACGCCGCAGCAGCACGCCGCAGCAGCACGCCGCAGCAGCACTCCAAGCCGCACTCCTCTGCCTAAAATAAGAGCTTTGCGTATTTTTTGGCAGCGCAGCGACCACAGAGTGAAAACACATAAGAAACACACAGTATTAAACATCAGCAGGAGGAGCAGGTGTCAGAGAATCTGATTTATTTTTTTCATAAAGTCTCGCATTTGACCACATCAGCCACAGAGACCGCAGAGACCGCAGAGACTACAGCCACAGAGACCACAGAGTGTCCTCTACACTTCTCCGTAGACGACACAATAGAAAAACACGTATTAGCGACATCGTTAAAGCTCAAAATACTAAAAAGAAGCAGCTTTTTTTCCACAATGAATTTTATCTCGGCATCACACACTGACCTCTATCCGTCCAAAGAAAAGTTGAAAAGGTTGTGATTTTGAACAGTTGTGAAGGTCATGTGACGATTGTGTTTGTGTTTTTGTGTGTGTTTTTGTGTGTGTGTGTGTGTGTGTGTGTGCGTGTGTGTCTGTTGCAGATACACAATGGCGGCTCAGGACCTGGTGATGCGAGCTCGCGGCGTTCTGAAGGACCGCGGCTGGAGGATCTCTGACGACCGACTGGGCTCCGGGGACGACATCTCCGTCTATATCATTCCTCTGATGTACGGGAACCAGCAAGACTAGCATCGCTGCTAACTCCGTGTCTCTGAGCCTTTCAGCAGAACTAGCATCGCTGCTAACTCTGTGTCTCTGAGCCTTATAGCAGAACTCCATTCAAGATTCAGTTTATTTTCTATTTGCAGTAAAACCACATTGGAATAACTGTGCAAGAGTACCACAGTCTTGCCACAGCACCATCGCTGCTAAATCCACCAAGTCTGGGGGATTCAGCAGAACTAGCATCGCCGCTAACTCTTGGGCCTCTGACACTGATAAAAACTACTTTCTGCTGTTTAACAAATCTTCCGGACTTTTTCTAGATGTATTTTTTTTTATTTGACGAAGGCAGAAGACTCCGGTCGGTAACAGACGTGGCTCTCAGACGACTGTTGCTACGGTAACAGACGTCCATCGCAGAAGACTGTTTCTAATTAAAGCCAATGCAGATATATTTATGATTTACAATTTAAGTTTGTTTAATTTTTATTACTGTTTTCTCACAATGTGCTTCTCATTTAGTCTCGGCTCTGGTTCCATCTTTAGTCCTGGCTTCACACACTAACTACATTAGATGGTCCACTTAAAGCTCGGGTACGTAACTTTAAAACCACAGAAAGTATCTGTCGTAAAACCCCATGTGACTAGTTCCTCGCTCTCATTAGTTTTCATGTGTTTTAAGCTTCTGTCATTTCTTTAAAACAGCTTTTTCAGACAGAACAGTGAACAAAAAGGACCACCCTCACTCAGCCAATCAGCTCTCAGCCTCTGGTCTCTCGCTAAGGTCTCTCTGGTCTCTCACTCTCTTCTCTCACTTTGGTCTCGCTTCTGCCCCTCTGGTTTCTCTTCTCTCTGGTCTCTCCCTCTCTGGTCTCTCACTTGTCTCTCTTCTCTCTGGTCTCTCACTTGTCTCTCTTGTCTCTCCCTATCTGGTCTCTCACTTGTCTCTCTTCTCTCTGGTCTCTCCCTCTCTGTTCTCTCACTTGTCTCTCTTTCCTCTGGTCTCTCACTTGTCTCTCTTTCCTCTGGTCTCTCACTTGTCTCTCTTCTCTCTGGTCTCTCACTTGTCTCTCTTCTCTCTGGTCTCTCACTTGTCTCTCTTCTCTCTGGTCTCTCCCTCTCTGGTCTCTCACTTGTCTCTCTTCTCTCTGGTCTCTCACTTGTCTCTCTGGTCTCTCACTTGTCTCTCTTCTCTCTGGTCTCTCCCTCTCTGGTCTCTCACTTGTCTCTCTTCTCTCTTGTCTCTCTTCTCTCTGGTCTCTCACTTGTCTCTCTTCTCTCTGGTCTCTCAATTGTCTCTCTTCTCTCTGGTCTCTCAATTGTCTCTCTTTCCTCTGGTCTCTCAATTGTCTCTCTTTCTTCTGGTCTCTCACTTGTCTCTCTTCTCTCTGGTCTCTCACTTGTCTCTCTTCTCTCTGCTCGTCTCTCAATTGTCTCTCTTTCCTCTGGTCTCTCACTTGTCTCTCTTGTCTCTCACTTGTCTCTCTTCTCTCTGGTCTCTCACTTGTCTCTCACTTGTCTCTCTTCTCTCTGGTCTCTCCCTCTCTGGTCTCTCACTTGTCTCTCTTCTCTCTGGTCTCTCACTTGTCTCTCTGGTCTCTCACTTGTCTCTCTTCTCTCTGGTCTCTCCCTCTCTGGTCTCTCACTTGTCTCTCTTCTCTCCTGTCTCTCTTCTCTCTGGTCTCTCACTTGTCTCTCTTCTCTCTGGTCTCTCAATTGTCTCTCTTTCCTCTGGTCTCTCAATTGTCTCTCTTTCCTCTGGTCTCTCATTGTCTCTCTCCTCGGTCTCTCCTCTCTCTCTCTGGTCTCTCAATTGTCTCTCTTTCCTCTGGTCTCTCACTTGTCTCTCTTTCCTCTGGTCTCTCACTTGTCTCTCTTCTCTCTGGTCTCTCACTTGTCTCTCTTCTCTCTGGTCTCTCACTTGTCTCTCTTCTCTCTGGTCTCTCACTTGTCTCTCTTCTCTCTGGTCTCTCACTTGTCTCTCTTCTCTCTGGCCTTTCTCTGGTCTCTCTGGTCTCTCTCTGGTCTCTCTCTGACTCTCGTCTGGTCTCTCTTGTCTCTCTGGTCTCTCACTTGGTCTCTCTCTCTGGTCTCTCACTTGTCGCTCTCTGGTCTCTCTCTGGCTCTTTCTGGTCTCTCTGGTCTCTTCTGGTCTCTCTCTTGTCTCTCTCTGGTCTCTCTGGTCTCTCTCCTCGGTCTCTCTCTGGTCTCTCTCTGGTCTCTCTCTGGTCTCTCTCTGGTCTCTCTCTGGTCTCTATCTGGGTCTCTCTCTGGTCTCTCTCTGGTCTCTCTCTCCTGGTCTCTCTCTGGTCTCTCTGGTCTCTCTCTCTGGTCTCTCTCTTGGTCTCTCTGGTCTCTCTCTGGTCTCTCTTGGAGTCTCTCTCTGGTCTCTCTCTGTCTCTCTCTGTCTCTCGTCTCTGGTCTCTCTCTGGTCTCTCTGGTCTCTCTCTCTGGTCTCTCTCTGGTCTCTCTCTGGTCTCTCTCTGGTCCCTCTCCCTGGTCTCTCCCTGGTCTCTCTGGTCTCTTTCCTTGGTCTGTCTCTGGTCTCTGGCGTCGCTAACACATAAGAATAGATCTACCTGAGACAGGGTCATGTCATATGAGGAAAGTCTTCTCCTGAGGGGCGAAGGGGGATGGTGAATGCAAATGACATTGTCTTAAGAGTCACCAAAAACAAAGTTTAAACCTGAAATCACTTCCGTGTTAATATGGGTCAAACAGTACCTAAGCTACTAGCATGTACTGTTGCATCCAGCCACACACTGTGAAGAGGCGTCAGCTTTCTAATGCTCTAACTGTACTTACGTGGGAGAAAAAATATTAAACCAGCCAACAATCTCTCTCTTATCTCTCTGGGTATCTCTCTGGTCTCTCTCTGGTCTCTCTGGTCTCTCTGGTCTCTCTCTGGTCTCTCTCTGGTCTCTCTCTGGTCTCTCTCTAAGTCTCTCTCTCTGGTCTCTCTCTGGTCCCTCTCTCTCTGGTCTCTCTCTTGGTCTCTCTCTGGTCTCTCTCTCCTCCGGTCTCTCTCTGGTCTCTCTGGTCTCTCTCTGGTCTCTCTCTGGTCTCTCTCTGGTCTCTCTGATCTCTCTCTGGTCTCTCTCTGGTCTCTCTCTGGTCTCTCTCTGTCTCTCTGGTCTCTCTCTGGTCTCTCTCTGGTCTCTCTCTGGTCTCTCTCTGGTCTCTCTCTGGTCTCTCTCTGGTCTCTCTAGTCTCTCTCTCTGGTCTCTCTCTGGTCTCTTTGGTCTCTCTCTGGTCTCTCTAGTCTCTCTCTCTGGTCTCTCTCTGGTCTTGCAGGTCTCTCTGGTCTTCCTAAGGTCTCTTTGGTCTCTCTCTGGTCTCTCTCTCTCCGGTCTCTCTCTGGTCTCTCTGGTCTCTCTCTGGTCTCTCTCTGGTCTCTCTCTGGTCTCTCTCTGGTCTCTCTGATCTCTCTCTGGTCTCTCTCTGGTCTCTCTCTGGTCTCTCTCTGGTCTCTCTCTCTGGTCTCTCTCTCTGGTCTCTCTCTGGTCTCTCTGGTCTCTCTCTGGTCTCTCTCTGGTCTCTCTCTGGTCTCTCTGATCTCTCTCTGGTCTCTCTCTCTGGTCTCTCTCTGGTCTCTCTCTGGTCTCTCTCTGGTCTCTCTCTCTGGTCTCTCTCTGGTCTCTCTCTGGTCTCTCTCTGGTCTCTCTCTGGTCTCTCTCTCTGGTTTCTCTCTCTGGTCTCTCTCTGGTCTCTCCCTGATCTCTCTCTGGTCTCTCTCAGTTTGTCTAATGCTATAACATATATATACAGAGTGGATAAGAAGTATCTAACAACACTAGTGTGAGTCCTCCCAGGCCTGTGCTGGTCTCAGGTCAGTGTGACCCACAACAGATGGTAAACAGAAGAGGGATAAAACCATAAATTAGGATTAAGAAGGGTCTAAATGACCCAGGGCAGGTCAAGTTAGGGAAAGTCATCACAATTCAGCTGGAAAACAAACATTTAGGGTATTTTATAGTTACTGTGGTGGAGAGATAAGACAGAGACCAGAGAGAGACCGGAGAGAGACCAGAGAGACCAGAGAGAGACCAGAGAGACCAGAGAGAGACCAGAGAGAGACCGGAGAGAGACCAGAGAGACCAGAGAGAGACCAGAGACCAGAGAGAGACCAGAGAGAGACCAGAGAGAGAGACCAGAGAGAGACCAGAGAGAGACCAGAGAGAGACCAGAGAGACCAGAGAGAGACCAGAGAGAGACCAGAGAGAGAACCAGAGAGAGAGACCAGAGAGAGAGAGAGACCAGAGAGAGACCAGAGAGAGACACCAGAGAAGAGACCAGAGAGACCACCAGAGAGAGACCAGAGAGAGACCAGAGAGAGACCGGAGAGAGACCAGAGAGAGAGACCAGAGAGAGACCAGAGAGAGATCAGGGAGAGACCAGAGAGACATCAGGGAGAGACCAGAGAAAGACCAGAGAGAGACCAGAGAGAGACCAGAGAGAGACACCAGAGAGACACCAGAGAGACACCAGAGAGAGACCAGAGAGAGACCAGAGAGAGACCAGAGAGAGACCAGAGAGAGACCAGAGAGAGACCAGAGAGTAAAATGAGTGGGAATCAATACTCAATGAAGGTTAGACTACAATGGCCTGTTATACCTCATAATAATCCATTATAAACATTCATCTGTCCACAATACTGAGCCTTCTTTAGCCTCTCTCTCTCTCTCTCTCTCTCTCTCTCTCTCTCTCTCTCTCTCTCTCTCTCTCCTCTCTCTCTCTCTCTCTCTCTCTCTCTCTCTCTCTCTCTCTCTCTCTCTCTCTCTCTCTCTCTCTCTCTCTCTCTCTCTCTCTCTCTCTCATCTCTCTCTCTCTCTCTCTCTCTCTCTCTCTCTCTCTCTCTCTCTCTATATAGATAATTTTGAATGATTACTTTGCTAATAAAAAATACATATTGGCAAAGTATATATAAATATATATTTATATATTGTACATCCAACCTACCATTCTCTAAAAGTTAAACAAACACATCTTCAGGGTTCTCTCTCCCTCTCCACTGTAAATATCCCTCATGTGTCTCCTGGAGAAAAGGCTTACCCCCTTCTGCTGTGATAAACTGTACTTCCTATACTCCACATTACTCCACATTACTCCACATTACTCTACATTACTCTACATTACTCTACATTACTCCACATTACTCCACATTACTCCACATTACTCTACATTACTCTACATTACTCCACATTACTCCACATGACTCCACATGACTCCACATTACACATTACTCCACATTACTCCACATTACTCCACATTGACTCCACATTACTCCACATTACGCCACATTACTCCACATTACTCCACATTACTCCACATTACTCCACATTACGACTCACATTACTCCACATTACTCCACATTACTCCACATTACGCCACATTACTCCACATTACGCCACATTACTCCACATTACGCCACATTACTCTACATTACGCCACATTACTCTACATTACTCCACATTACTCCACATGACTCCACATGACTCCACATTACTCCACATTACTCTACATTACTCTACATTACTCCACATTACTCCACATTACTCCACATTACGCCACATTACGCCACATTACGCCACATTACTCCACATTACTCCACATTACTCCACATTACTCCACATTACTCCACATTACTCCACATTACTCCACATTACTCCACATTACTCCACATTACTCCACATTACGCCACATTACTCCACATTACGCCACATTACTCCACATTACGCCACATTACTCTACATTACGCCACATTACTCTACATTACTCTACATTACTCCACATTACTCCACATTACTCTACATTACTCTACATTACTCCACATTACTCCACATTACTCCACATTACTCCACATTACTCCACATTACTCTACATTACTCTACATTACTCCACATTACTCCACATTACTCTACATTACTCTACATTACTCCACATTACTCCACATTACTCCACATTACTCTACATTACTCTACATTACTCCACATTACGCCACATTACTCCACATTACTCCACATTACTCCACATTACTCCACATTACTCTACATTACTCTACATTACTCTACATTACTCTACATTACTCCACATTACTCCACATTACTCTACATTACTCTACATTACTCTACATTACTCCACATTACTCCACATTACTCCACATTACTCCACATTACTCCACATTACTCCACATTACTCCACATTACTCTACATTACTCAACATGAACATACATAAACATGACTCTGCATGTGTCCCGGGCCTCCCTGACCTCCCCCACCTCCTCCTCTCCGACTCCTCATGTTACCGTCAGCTCGAATCGTATCAATTGCAGAAATCTATGAGAGATTTCTGCAATTGATACGATTTTGTGTCCAGGCCCCTCCCTCTGCACTCTCCCACGGCACAGAGCTGCTGACGAGTGTGACCGGGACCAAAACACAGACACAGAGGAAAACAGGGACCAGGAAACCATCACCGTGTCCTCTCCCTTATCTCAGCGTCGCTAGCTCTGTTAGCATTGTACACATGACCCAGCCTCACAGCGGCCAATCACAGACAATGTTACAGAATCTGAAAATACTTTAGTTTAGTTCAGTCTTTCTTTCAACATAAACACTGAGCTCAAAGACAGATATGTTCTGCCCCAGATCATGGCCACACTGCTCATTTCCATCTGGAACAGTCTTCCTGAAAATGTGAGACAGACTTCTTCTCAGACAATGTTCAAATCCAGGTTACAAACAGTTCTGTTTAACTCTTTTTAATTAACTTTGAGATTCAAGAGAACCAGGAAGTGGAGACACAACAGAACCAGGAAGTGGAGAAACGACAAAACCAGGAAGTGGAGACACAACAGAACCAGGAAGTGGCGAAACGACAGAACCAGGAAGTGGAGAAACGACAGAACCAGGAAGTGGCGAGGACCGGTGACATTCCCGACAGGTGAATGGTGCGTCTCAGACCTCTGTGAAGTCGGAGTCAATCATAGATCTATAATTATAACTGGATAGAGTATTACTATCTTAGAGCTGTCCCACCTATGGCCACAGGGGGCGCTGTGGTACTGCAGACTAAATTCATGAGGGCTACCCAGAAAAAAGTCCCAGAGATCTCAATGCAAACTAAAACAGCTCGACCTCAGCTGACAGAGAACCTGACAGAGAACCTACAGTTTTCACAAAGATCATATTTTGTGGGATTTTAGTGTTCCTTGTCATTCTGAACTTTTTTTCTTCTTAAATCCTTCTGTTTTCTTTAAATCCACACTTTACTGCCACAAACTCTGCTCCTTTCTTTCCCGCTCTGACTCCGCCCTGCTGCTGCTCTGAGCAGCTCTGATTGGTCAGAGCGTGGCCGAGCCCCTCTCTGCACGTGCATGACAGCCACACACACGTATTTGGCGCAAAGCATCATGGGAGCTCGTCCACTGCGCAGAACCAGGAGGACCAGACGATGCCCAAATATGGGCGAGTTCAGCTAATCTCGCGGTCTCCGTGAAGTCCCATGAACCACTGAGCACAAGCCGTTCATTTGAATAGGATGCCATCTTGGATCACCAGGGCTCGGAGTCAAAGCACAAACATGAAAAGGACCCACCTTGACTTTAGGGGGCGCTCTCCAGTGCTCGCGGATCACTCTGTCCACTGTCAGGTTGTTGGAGAGGATCACCACCTCGCTAGTGCTCTCTCTGCACGACAGCTCACACTCCTCACCTGCAGGAGACACGAGAATCTGCGTTAGAAACACTGGAGACTGGTCCCACAGCGGAGAAATGTCAGTGTCAGCACACAGAAACATGAACAATAACTCTGTACTCAAATAACATACAATCTCTATCTTTAGCATATTAAAGAAGCTAGTATCAAATTGCTGATGTTAGCATAATAAAGAAGCTAGTTTAAAATACTGTTTATTCTAGTGCAAGAAATACGTAGTCATACGTTTACTTCATTCTTGCTTCTTTATTATGCTAACGTTAGCGATTGCACAGATGCACAAGGGTCATGTCGGCAGTGTCCGTTAGTCCTCACAAGAATAACTGCCAACCTACCAATGCCATGTCCTCTTCTACAGGATCACTGCCAACCTACCAATGCCATGTCCTCTTCTGCAGGATCACTGCCAACCTACCAATGCCATGTCCTCTTCTACAGGATCACTGCCAACCTACCAATGCCGTGCCCTCTTCTACAGGATCACTGCCAACCTACCAATGCCGTGCCCTCTTCTACAGGATCACTGCCAACCTACCAATGCCGTGCCCTTTTCTACAGGATCACTGCCAACCTACCAATGCCGTGCCCTCTTCTACAGGATCACTGCCAACCTACCAATGCCATGTCCTCTTCTACAGGATCACTGCCAACCTACCAATGCCATGTCCTCTTCTACAGGATCACTGCCAACCTACCAATGCCGTGCCCTCTTCTACAGGATCACTGCCAACCTACCAATGCCATGTCCTCTTCTACAGGATCACTGCCAACCTACCAATGCCATGTCCTCTTCTACAGGATCACTGCCAACCTACCAATGCCATGTCCTCTTCTACAGGATCACTGCCAACCTACCAATGCCGTGCCCTCTTCTACAGGATCACTGCCAACCTACCAATGCCGTGCCCTTTTCTACAGGATCACTGCCAACCTACCAATGCCGTGCCCTCTTCTACAGGATCACTGCCAACCTACCAATGCCGTGCCCTCTTCTACAGGATCACTGCCAACCTACCAATGCCTGCCATGTCCTCTTCTACAGGATCACTGCCAACCTACCAATGCCGTGCCCTCTTCTACAGGATCACTGCCAACCTACCAATGCCGTGCCCTCTTCTACAGGATCACTGCCAACCTACCAATGCCGTGCCCTCTTCTACAGGATCACTGCCAACCTACCAATGCCGTGTCCTCTTCTACAGGATCACTGCCAACCTACCAATGCCGTGTCCTCTTCTACAGGATCACTGCCAACCTACCAATGCTGTGTCCTTTTCTACAGGAGTACTGCCAACCTACCAATGCCGTGTCCTCTTCTACAGGATCACTGCCAACCTACCAATGCCGTGTCCTCTTCTACAGGATCACTGCCAACCTACCAATGCCGTGCCCTCTTCTACAGGATCACTGCCAACCTACCAATGCCGTGCCCTTTTCTACAGGATCACTGCCAACCTACCAATGCCGTGCCCTCTTCTACAGGATCACTGCCAACCTACCAATGCCGTGCCCTTTTCTACAGGATCACTGCCGACCTACCAATGCCGTGCCCTCTTCTACAGGATCACTGCCAACCTACCAATGCCATGTCCTCTTCTACAGGATCACTGCCAACCTACCAATGCCATGTCCTCTTCTACAGGATCACTGCCAACCTACCAATGCCGTGCCCTCTTCTACAGGATCACTGCCAACCTACCAATGCCATGTCCTCTTCTACAGGATCACTGCCAACCTACCAATGCCGTGCCCTCTTCTACAGGATCACTGCCAACCTACCAATGCCGTGCCCTCTTCTACAGGATCACTGCCAACCTACCAATGCCGTGTCCTCTTCTACAGGATCACTGCCAACCTACCAATGCTGTGTCCTTTTCTACAGGAGTACTGCCAACCTACCAATGCCGTGTCCTCTTCTACAGGATCACTGCCAACCTACCAATGCCATGTCCTCTTCTACAGGATCACTACCAACCTACCAATGCCGTGCCCTCTTCTACAGGATCACTGCCAACCTACCAATGCCGTGCCCTTTTCTACAGGATCACTGCCAACCTACCAATGCCGTGCCCTCTTCTACAGGATCACTGCCAACCTACCAATGCCGTGCCCTCTTCTACAGGATCACTGCCAACCTACCAATGCCATGTCCTCTTCTACAGGATCATGCCAACCTACCAATGCCGTGCCCTCTTCTACAGGATCATAACCTCCAACCTACCAATGCCGTGCCCTCTTCTACAGGATCACTGCCAACCTACCAATGCCGTGCCCTCTTCTACAGGATCACTGCCAACCTACCAATGCCGTGCCCTCTTCTACAGGATCACTGCCAACCTACCAATGCCGTGTCCTCTTCTACAGGATCACTGCCAACCTACCAATGCCGTGTCCTCTTCTACAGGATCACTGCCAACCTACCAATGCCGTGTCCTCTTCTACAGGATCACTGCCAACCTACCAATGCCGTGTCCTCTTCTACAGGATCACTGCCAACCTACCAATGCCGTGCCCTCTTCTACAGGATCACTGCCAACCTACCAATGCCATGTCCTCTTCTACAGGATCACTGCCAACCTACCAATGCCATGTCCTCTTCTACAGGATCACTGCCAACCTACCAATGCCGTGCCCTTTTCTACAGGATCACTGCCAACCTACCAATGCCGTGCCCTCTTCTACAGGATCACTGCCAACCTACCAATGCCATGTCCTCTTCTACAGGATCACTGCCAACCTACCAATGCCGTGTCCTCTTCTACAGGATCACTGCCAACCTACCAATGCCGTGTCCTCTTCTACAGGATCACTGCCAACCTACCAATGCCGTGCCCTCTTCTACAGGATCACTGCCAACCTACCAATGCTGTGTCCTTTTCTACAGGAGTACTGCCAACCTACCAATGCCGTGTCCTCTTCTACAGGATCACTGCCAACCTACCAATGCCGTGTCCTCTTCTACAGGATCACTGCCAACCTACCAATGCCGTGCCCTCTTCTACAGGATCACTGCCAACCTACCAATGCCGTGCCCTTTTCTACAGGATCACTGCCAACCTACCAATGCCGTGCCCTCTTCTACAGGATCACTGCCAACCTACCAATGCCGTGCCCTCTTCTACAGGATCACTGCCAACCTACCAATGCCATGTCCTCTTCTACAGGATCACTGCCAACCTACCAATGCCGTGCCCTCTTCTACAGGATCACTGCCAACCTACCAATGCCGTGCCCTCTTCTACAGGATCACTGCCAACCTACCAATGCCGTGCCCTCTTCTACAGGATCACTGCCAACCTACCAATGCCGTGCCCTCTTCTACAGGATCACTGCCAACCTACCAATGCCGTGTCCTCTTCTACAGGATCACTGCCAACCTACCAATGCCGTGTCCTCTTCTACAGGATCACTGCCAACCTACCAATGCCGTGTCCTCTTCTACAGGATCACTGCCAACCTACCAATGCCGTGTCCTCTTCTACAGGATCACTGCCAACCTACCAATGCCGTGCCCTCTTCTACAGGATCACTGCCAACCTACCAATGCCATGTCCTCTTCTACAGGATCACTGCCAACCTACCAATGCCATGTCCTCTTCTACAGGATCACTGCCAACCTACCAATGCCGTGCCCTCTTCTACAGGATCACTGCCAACCTACCAATGCCGTGCCCTCTTCTACAGGATCACTGCCAACCTACCAATGCCGTGTCCTCTTCTACAGGATCACTGCCAACCTACCAATGCCGTGTCCTCTTCTACAGGATCACTGCCAACCTACCAATGCCGTGTCCTCTTCTACAGGATCACTGCCAACCTACCAATGCCGTGTCCTCTTCTACAGGATCACTGCCAACCTACCAATGCCGTGCCCTCTTCTACAGGATCACTGCCAACCTACCAATGCCATGTCCTCTTCTACAGGATCACTGCCAACCTACCAATGCCATGTCCTCTTCTACAGGATCACTGCCAACCTACCAATGCCGTGCCCTCTTCTACAGGATCACTGCCAACCTACCAATGCCGTGCCCTCTTCTACAGGATCACTGCCAACCTACCAATGCCGTGCCCTCTTCTACAGGATCACTGCCAACCTACCAATGCCATGTCCTCTTCTACAGGATCACTGCCAACCTACCAATGCCGTGCCCTCTTCTACAGGATCACTGCCAACCTACCAATGCCGTGCCCTCTTCTACAGGAGTACTGCCAACCTACCAATGCCGTGTCCTCTTCTACAGGAGTACTGCAGGTTGTGGTGCAGGTTCTGAGGTAGAGAACATTGGCCTTTGCTGTGAGGACAGAGACGGAACGAGCCGGTCCAGTTCCCGTCTTTTCGGCACCGTATGGTATTGGAAGAGGTGCTCTACAAAAGAAAACACACACATTGGCGAATTACCTACACACACACACACACACACACACACACAGAGATAACCACAAAGCCAAGGACACTGTGAAGGTATCCCGCTAGAGAGAGGGAGAAATACAATCCAATTAATACTATGCATCCAGGCTCAGAGCCGGCGAGGCGGAGGGGATTAAAGCGTGTATACATTGCAGAAGTCAACAATAAGCCTGTTCTGGAAATCAATATGGATCTCATTAGACCGGTGTCAAACAGAGTAGGACCAGAAGAGACCGGGAGGAGACCGAGAGGAGACCGAGAGGAGACCGGGAGGAGACCGGGAGGAGGAGCCACAGAATCACAGAGGTCCAACTGAGCTGAGAGAAGATGGTTTTGAAGATGTTTAAATAGGTATTATTTTAAATACAGGTCTCTCTCTGGTCTCTCTCTGTGGTCTCTCTCTCTGTGGTCTCTCTCTGGTCTCTCTCTCTGGTCTCTCTCTGGTCTCTCTCTGGTCTCTCTCTGTGGTCTCTCTCTCTGTGGTCTCTCTCTGGTCTCTCTCTCTGGTCTCTCTCTGGTCTGTCTCTGGTCTCTCTCTGGTTTTTCTTTGGTCTCTCTCTAGTTTCTCTCTCTGGTCTCTCTCTCTCTGGTCTCTCTCTCTGGTCTCTCTCTCTCTGGTCTCTCTCTGGTCTCTCTCTCTTGTCTCTCTCTCTGGTCTCTCTCTCTCTGGTCTCTCCCTGGGGTCTCTCCCTGTGGTCTCTCTGGTCTCGCTCTAGTCTCTCTCTGGTCTCTCTCTCTTGTCTCTCTCTCTGGTCTCTCTCTCTCTGGTCTCTCTCTGGGGTCTCTCTCGTCTCGCTCTAGTCTCTCTCTGGTCTCTCTCTCTTGTCTCTCTCTCTGGTCTCTCTCTGGGGTCTCTCTGGTCTCGCTCTAGTCTCTCTCTGGCCTCCAGATTCTGGGACAAATCAATTTAGTCTTAGGTTTTCTTTTTAAACCAAGATCATTTTGTTTTGTCCCATTGGAGAATCCAGTTTTTAGGCTCAGTCAGAATCACATTAAGACACATTTTGCCAAATCTGATTTTTTTCTCCTCTTGTCCTCGCCGAGTCGGGAGCACATGAGGAAATGTGTCGTGTTCATTTCCCCAAACCCACAGTGACATTAATCTCAGCTCGGTCAGGCTCGTTTAAGGAGCCGGAATGTCTGCAGGAAATCCACCCAAACACAGAAAAACATACAGACCCAGGAGAGAACGGTCTGGCCCAGCATGCTAACCTGTGCTAACCTGTGCTAACCACCAGCTAGCACTGACGCTGAGACTGGACCATGTTTCTCACAGACTTAATAAATACTGACGATAAAGTAGCAGTGCATTCAGAAAGTATTCAACCCCTTCACGTTTTCTACATTTCCTCTATCTATCCATGTTCTTACACTACATCCGTTGCCGGGTCGCGGGGGCAGCAGTCAGAGCAGACACACACTCATCTGGGGGAATCCTGAGGCAACTCTGTGTCCTGGGTCTTCCCCTGGTCTCTTACCAGTGGAACATACCCAGAACTCTTTCTGGTATCTATCTCTCTGATCTCTCTCCCTCTCTCTGGTCTCTCTCTCTGGTCCCTCTCTCTGGTCTCTCTCTGGACACTCTCTCTCTGGTCTCTCTCTGGCCTCTCTCTGGTCTCTCCCTCTGGTCTTTCTCTCTCTCTCTGGTCTCTCTCAGGTCTCTCTCTCTGGTCTCTCTCTGGTCTCTCTCTCTGGTCTCTCTCTGGTCTCTCTCTGGTCTCTCTCTGGTCTCTCTCTGGTCTCTCTCTGGCCTCTCTCTGGTCTCTCTCTGGTCTCTCCCTCTGGTTTTTCTCTCTGGTCTTTCTCTCTGACCTCTCTCTGGTCTCTCCCACTCTCTGGTCTCTCTCTCTTGGGTCTTTCTCTGGTCTCCCTCTCTGGTTAAATGTCTTGCCTAATTACACAACCACAGTTTGTCACTTTGCAGCCGCCCCACTGTGGCACCTGGTGTTCCCAGCGGTCTCTCATCACAGCACTAACCAAGCCCAGCCCTGCTTAGCTTCAGAGTTCAAACACAGCACAGGAGAATGGGGCGGAGTACCATCTGAACACACAGTAAAAACATGCAGAGACAGAGAGAAGGAGAGGGACAGACCTGGAGGCAGGGGGCGTGGGGCATCCTCACCGTGTGGGCGGAGCCTCCTGCGGCGCCGGCCTCGGAGCAGTTGAGTCTGCAGACGCTGTCGAAGCGGAAGCCGTCGCTGCAGTGGTACGAGCCGTGGAAGATGGAGGGAGGCGGGTCGCAGGTCACTGGCTCACACGCACCCTCCAACCAGCTGCCGTCCTCCGTGCACTGACGCTTAAACGCTCGTCTGAGAGAAGGAAGAAATAATAAGATAATAATAATAAGAAAGAAGAATAAAAACGGATCGCCCCATCCCACAACCAAACCATTCACACACAAGCAAGACTCTTTCTGGTCTCTCTCTGATCTCTCTCTGGTCTCTCTCTCTCGGGTCCCTCTCTCTGGTCACTCTCTCTCTGGTCTCTCTCTGGATTCTCTCTCTCTGGTCTCTATCTCTGGTCTCTCTCTAATCTCTCTCTGGTCCCTCTCTAGTCTCTCTCTCTCGGGTCCCTCTCTCTGGTCACTCTCTCTCTGGTCTCTCTCTCTCTGGTCTCTCTCTCTCTGGTCATTCTCTCTCTGGTCACTCTCTCGTCCCTATCTCTGGTCACTCTTTCTCTGGTCTCTCTCTCTCTGGTCTCTATCTCTGGTCTCTCTCTAATCTCTCTCTGGTCCCTCTCTAGTCTCTCTCGCTCGGGTCCCTCTCTCTGGTCTCTCTCTCTCTGGTCTCTATCTCTGGTCTCTCTCTCTCTGGTCTCTCTCTCTCTGGTCTCTATCTCTGGTCTCTCTCCCGCCCCACTGTGGCACCTGTTCTTCCCAGAGGTCTCCCATCACAGCACTACCCAGGCCCTGCCCTGCTTAGCTTCATGTCCAGACTCTGACCTCTTGGGCTTGCCGGTGACGTGGTACCCGGGTTTGCACTTGTACTTGCAGAGCGTTCCCACTTTGAGTCCGATCTCGCTGCAGCGTTTGGTTTGCAGGACGGCGTTGGGCACAGGGGGCGGAGCCGGGCAGCGCAGCTCGCACAGCGCCTCCGGGAACGACCACAGACCGTCCTCCAGACACGTCAGGGTGTTGTTAGAGCCTGAGACACACACGTTAGCAACAATCATGGACTTTGTCACATGTTTGAGTCTCACTGGGCTAGCCCCAAGTCTCAACAAACTAGCTCTCTCTCTCTTTCTCCCTCTCCCTCTCTCTGGCTCTCTATCTCTTCTCTCTCTCCTCTCTCTTGCCTCTCCTCTCTCCTCTCTCTCTCCCCCCTCTCTCCTCTCTCTCCCCTCTCTCTCTAGCTCTCTCTCTCTCCTCTCTCTCCTCTCTCTCTCCTCTCTCTCTCTCTCTCTCCTCTCTCTCTCCTGTCTCTCTCCTCTCCTCTCTCCTCTCTCTCTCTAGCTCTCTCTCTCTAGCTCTCTCTCTCTCTCTCTCTCTCTCTACTCTCTCTCTCCTCTCCTCTCTCCTCTCTCTCTCCTCTCTCTCTCTCCTCTCTCTCTCCTCTCTCTCTCCTCTCTCTCTCCTCTCTGTCTCCTCTCTTTCTCTCCTCTCTCTCTCCTCTCTCTCTCCTCTCTCTCTCTAGCTCTATCTCTCTCTCCTCTCTCTCTCTAGCTCTCTCTCTCCTCTCCTCTCTCTCTCTCTCTCTCCTCTCTCTCTCTAGCTCTCTCTCCTCTCCTCTCTCTCTCCTCTCTCTCTCTAGCTCTCTCTCCTCTCTCTCTCTAGCTCTCTCGCTCTCTCCTCTCTCTCTCTAGCTCTCTCTCCTCTCTCTCTCTCTCTCTCTCTCTCTCCTCTCTCTCTCTCCTCTCTCTCTCCTCTCTCTCTCTTTCTCTCTCTCCCTCCCTCTCTCACACTCTCTCTCCTCTCCTCTCTACTCTCCTCTCTCTCTCCTCTTTCCCTCTCTCTCACTCACACTCTCTTTCTCTCTCTCTCTCTCATCACTCTCTCAAACCAGCGGTAATGAAAAACCACTTTCTTTCCTCTTCCCTCTGACCCCAGAACCTTCAGCCTTAACCCCCTTCCCTGACCCCGTAGCGCCCGCGGGTAACCTCACCGATGAGCTGCGCCGGCTCTCGACACTGGAAGGTGATCCTCTTGCCGTAGGTGGTGCCTTCTGGGAACAGGAAGTTGGCGGGATGGACGTGGTACTTGTCCGGCATCCCGCAGTCCACGGGCTCACACGACACCTGCTTGTTCCACTTCCCGTTCGCACACGTCATGGTCACGGAGGACGCCGACTGTGACGGGACCAGGACGAGCCGTTAGGGAGGGAAGCGAACACAACATGGTCTCATTAGAAATGTATATTAAATGGCAGTAATCTGACTCTACACAAACTACACTGAGGAGAGACTCTGAGGAGAATATTTACAAGGTTATATTTATTTGTTGCTGTACAGAATGTGGTTATGATTTGCAGAAGGGAAAGAGATTATGAGATGTAATCCCCGAAGTCTGTGGTCTAGACCCGGGTGGTGGTCCTCTGTGGTTTAGACCCTGGTAGTGGTCATCTGTGGTCTAGACCCTGGTGGTGGTCCTCTGTGGTCTAGACCCGGGTGGTGGTCATCTGTGGCCTAGACCCGGGTGGTGGTCCTCTGTGGTCTAGACCCTGGTGGTGGTCCTCTGTGGTCTAGACCCGGGTGGTGGTCCTCTGTGGTCTAGACCCGGGTGGTGATCATCTGTGGCCTAGATCCTGGTGGTGGTCCTCTGTGGTCTAGACCCTGGTGATGGTCCTCTGTGGTCTAGACCCGGGTGGTGGTCCTCTGTGGTTTAGACCCGGGTGGTGGTCATCTGTGGTCTAGACCCTGGTGGTGGTCCTCTGTGGTTTAGACCCGGGTGGTGGTCCTCTGTGGTCTAGACCCTGGTGGTGGTCCTCTGTGGTCTAGACCCTGGTGGTGGTCCTCTGTGGTTTAGACCCGGGTGGTGGTCCTCTGTGGTCTAGACCCTGGTGGTGGTCCTCTGTGGTCTAGACCCTGGTGGTGGTCCTCTGTGGTCTAGACCCTGGTTGTAGTGGAGATGAGGAGGAGGAGGGTTGCAGCGTGAGTGAAGCTGCTGCTTGGATAGATTTAATTTAGGTGCCCCAGCTTTAATTTTGGACGTTTTGGTTGCGCTTTGGTAGGAGAAATGGGGGAGACACGAGGGAGACATGGGGGGGAAACGGGGGAGACACGAGAGTGACACAGGGGAGACATGGGTGGAGACATAAGGGAGACTTGGGGGAGACATGGGGGAGAAACGGGGGAGACATGGGGGAGACATGGGGGAGACACTGGGGAGACATGGGGGAGACATGGGAGACATGGGGGAGACACTCGGGAGACATGGTGGAGACATGGGGGAGACATGGTGGAGACATGGGGAGACACTGAGGAGACATGGTGGAGACATGGGGGAGACATGGAAGACATGGGGAAGACACTGGGGAGACATGGTGGAGACATGGGGGAGACATGGGAGACACTGGGGGAGACACTGGGGAGACATGGGGGAGACATGGAAGACATGGGGGAGACATGGTGGAGACATGGGGAAGACATGGTGGAGACATGGTGGAGACATGGGAGACATGGGAGACATGGTGGAGACATGGGAGACATGGGAGACATGGGGGAGACATGGGGGAGACATGGTGGAGACATGGGAGACATGGGAGACATGGTGGAGACATGGGAGACATGGGAGACATGGGGGAGACATGGGAGACATGGGAGACATGGTGGAGACATGGGAGACATGGGGGAGACATGGGAGACATGGGGGAGACACGGGGGAGACATGGGAGAGACATGGTGGAGACATGGGAGAGACATGGTGGAGACATGGGAGACATGGGGGAGACATGGTGGAGACATGGGAGACATGGGGGAGACATGGGAGACATGGGAGACATGGTGGAGACATGGGAGACATGGGGGAGACATGGGAGACATGGGGGAAACATGGTGGAGACATGGGAGAGACATGGTGGAGACATGGGGGAGACATGGGAGACATGGGGGAGACATGGTGGAGACATGGTGGAGACATGGTGGAGACATGGTGGAGACATGGGGGAGACATGGGGGAGACATGGTGGAGACATGGGGGAGACATGGTGGAGGCATGGGAGACATGGGGGAGACATGGTGGAGACATGGGGGAGACATGGTGGAGGCATGGGAGACATGGGGGAGACATGGTGGAGACATGGGGGAGACATGGGAGACATGGGGGAGACATGGTGGAGACATGGGAGACATCGGGGAGACATGGTGGAGACATGGTGGAGACATGGGGGAGACATGGGGGAGACACTGGGGAGACATGGTGGAGACATTGGGGAGACATTCAGATTCAGATTCATTTATTTGCCATTTGCAGTAAAACCACATAGGAAAAACTGTGCAAGACTACCCCGGGGAGACATGGTGGAGACATGGGGGAGACATGGGGGAGACATGGTGGAGACATGGGGGAGACATGGGGGAGACATGGTGGAGACATGGTGGAGACATGGGACTCGAACCCTACATGGTCTTATTACAGTTGTATAAATGTGAGACAGGCCTCTCCTCGGACCATGTTCAGATCAGGTTACAAACAGCTGCTGCGCCTCAGGGAAGTTATATCTGTGTCTTTATTATACTGAGAATATGAATCATGTTGATGTTTTTTTGTTTTGTTCAGTTTGAGTTACTTTGTGAATGAATCGTGCTATACATATAAACTCTGACACTACATAAGTGCCCTGAGGCGCTGGAACGAGGCGGAGATGGGGAGGAGGAGGGTTGCAGCGTGAGTGAAACCTGATGCTGCAGATGACGTTAAGCTTCGTCAGACACTTCAGAACCATTTATACTTTACTTTCCCGGTGTCACAAGTTACTTACTGAGTTAACAAGAGTTGGCACTAACTGTGTGGAAAAATATCAAAAAATCCACTCTCAGCCCAAAAAGTCAAATAATGACCCCAAGACGACTTGCTGAGACTGCGCCCGGGCAACGGACCATCGTGAATGTGGCGTCCTGGTACAGAACATGGTGAAGTTTCAGAGACTAAAGTAACAACCTCAGAGAAGAAGAAGGTCCTTTACTCGCCTCACAACAGGGACGGTTCAGTTTGATCCACACACACACACATACATACATCTACACACATACACACATATACACACATCTACACACACATACACACATACACATACATACATCTACACACATACACACATCTACACACACATACACACATCTACACACACATACACACATACACATACATACATCTACACACACATACACACACATACACATACATACATCTACACACATACACACATCTACACACACATACACACATCTACACACATACACACATCTACACACACATACACACATACACATACATACATCTACACACACATACACACACATACACACATACACATACATACATCTACACACATACACACACATACATACACATACACACATACACACATATACACACACATACATACACATAATAATAATAATAATAATGCATCGGTTTTATATAGCGCTTTTTTGGACACTCAAAGACGCTTCACATGTGTCATTATTCATTCACACCATACACAGTGGTGATAGACTACTACTGTAGCCACAGCTGCCCTGGGGCACACTGACAGAAGCGAGGCAACCAGTCTGTGCCATCGGCCCCTCTGACCACCACCAACCATTCACACACACACCAGACTCATTCTAGGCAATGGGGTTAGTGTCTTGCCTAAGGACACAACAGCAGTTTGGCACAGCCGCCCCACTGTGGCTGGTGTTCCCAGAGGTTAAGTGTCTTGCCCAAGGACACAACGACAGTAGTCAGTGGGAGTCGATGGTGAAAGTCTTGAGCGGGGCTTGAACCCACGACCTTCTGGCTCAAAGGCCAACGCTCTACCAACTGAGCTACTGCCGCCCGACATACACACATCTACACACATACACACATATACACACACATACATACACATACACACATCTACACACATCTACACACACATACATACACATATACACATACTGTACATATACACATACACACATACATATACACACATCTACATACATACACACATACTGTACATATACACATACATACATACACACATACACATATACATATACACACATATACATACACATATACACACACATACACACATACTGTACATATACACATACATACACATATACACACATACTGTACATATACACATACACACATACATATACACACATCTACATACATACACACATACATACACATATACATACATACATACACATACACACATACACACATACTGTACATATACACATACATACATACACACATACACATATACATATACACACATATACATACACATATACACACACATACACACATACTGTACATATACACATACATACACATATACACACATACTGTACATATACACATACACACATACACATATACACACATACTGTACATATACACATACACACATACATATACACGTACACACACACATATACACATACATATACATATACACATATATATACACATTTACATGCATACACACAAACACATACACATCTACACACACACATCAAGGCAAGCAGCGAACATCACTTCCACACTCCTTAAAGGCAAAGTGGGTTGAGTGTCTTGCCCAAGGACACAACGACAGCAGGCATCAGTGGGAGTCGGTGGAGAAGGTCTCCGGGTGGACTCGAACCCACGACCTCCAGGCTCAAAGGCCAATGCTCCACCACCTCCAAGTTTATCTGTTTAGCACAGTCCATACACACGGCCACTCAAAACAATCAGACACTAACGTCATTAATAATCACAAAATATTAAAAGTTTTTAACCTGGATTTTTTTCCCACCTCTGCACCTTCTCCACCGACTCCCACTGATGACTGCTGTCGTTGTGTCCTTGGGCAAGACACTTAACTCCACTTTGCCCAAATCCCCCACTGAAAGATCAAGGCTATGCTCTTGAGCTCTTGAGCAGGAGCAGCCGTCCTCCTGTGGACTCACCACCTGCAGAGGGTCAGTGAGGGGCTGGTGCTATGAGACTTGGGTGGCATCTCTGACTGCCACCCCCCTGACCCAGAAATGGATTAAAGGGAAGAAAATGTATGGATGGATGGAACCTGGATTTGAACGTTGTCAGAGAAGTAGCCTGTCTCACATTTTCAGGAAGACTGTTCCAGATTTTTGGTGAATATAAATCTATTATAAACCAGTCCCAGTTGGTTCGAGTTAAACGTTATTAAAATGTCCCATAAAAATATCTTTAACCTTAACTTTGCCTCCTGCCGCACACAACACAAATGTTTACCTCGTCAAAAAAACACACAAACGCAATTCAGCAGATTCTGTGCAACAAGTGTGAACGGCATGAGTCAGAGCAGCATGAGGGCCTCGGCAGATCAGGTATCTGCTGATCACATCTGTGAGGTCAAGTTGTTCCACTTAAGAATCTGATACCCACGGACGCACAATCAGCTCCAACACACATTCAGCTATAACACACAATCAGCTCCAACACACAATCAGCTAAAACACACAATCAGCTATAACACACAATCAGCTCCAACACACAACACATTGACTTTAGCCCGAGAGAGACCACAAATGAAAAGCCCAGGGGCATCCACGTCTGAGCAGAGAGAGACCAGAGAGAGACCAGAGAGAGACCAGAGAGAGACCAGAGAGAGACCAGAGGGAGACCAGAGTGAGACCAGAGAGAGACCAGAGAGAGACCAGAGGGAGACCAGAGAGAGACCAGAGAGAGACCAGAGGGAGACCAGAGAGAGACCAGAGAGAGACCAGAGAGAGACCAGAGAGAGACCAGAGAGAGACCAGAGGGAGACCAGAGAGAGACCAGAGAGAGACCAGAGAGAGACCAGAGAGAGACCAGAGAGAGACCAGAGAGAGACTAGAGAGAGACCAGAGGGAGACCAGAGGGAGACCAGAGAGAGACCAGAGAGAGACCAGAGAGAGACTAGAGAGAGACCAGAGAGAGACCAGAGGGAGACCAGAGGGAGACCAGAGAGAGACCAGAGAGAGACCAGAGAGAGACCAGAGGGAGACCAGAGGGAGACCAGAGAGAGACCAGAGAGAGACCAGAGAGAGACCAGAGAGAGACCAGAGGGAGACCAGAGAGAGACTAGAGAGAGACCAGAGAGAGACCAGAGGGAGACCAGAGGGAGACCAGAGAGAGACCAGAGAGAGACCAGAGAGAGACCAGAGAGAGACCAGAGGGAGACCAGAGAGAGACCAGAGAGAGACCAGAGGGAGGCTAGAGAGAGACCAGAGAGAGACCAGAGGGAGACTAGAGAGAGGCAAGAGAGAGACTAGAGAGAGACCAGAGAGAGAGACCAGAGAGAGACCAGAGAGAGACCAGAGGGAGACTAGAGAGCGACCAGAGGGAGACCAGAGAGACCAGAGAGAGACCAGAGGGAGACCAGAGGGAGACCAGAGAGAGACCAGAGGGAGACTAGAGAGAGGCAAGAGAGAGACCAGAGAGAGAGACCAGAGAGAGACCAGAGAGAGGCCAAAGAGAGACCAGAGAGAGACCAGAGGGAGACTAGACAGCGACCAGAGGGAAACTAGAGAGCGACCAGAGGGAGACTAGAGAGAGACCAGAGAGGGACCAGAGAGAGACCAGAGGGAGACCAGAGAGGACTAGAGATATGTACAATAGGTCTGGCATGCGCCTCCTGTTCGGCGACCCCGCTCCCATCTCTGTGTGGAGTGAGAGACAAATGCCCAAATAATAACAATTGTAAACCGCTTTGTGACTCTGGTCTGTGAAAGGCGGTATATAAATAAAGCTTACTTACTTACTTACTAGAGAGAGAGACCAGAGAGAGTCCAGAGAGAGACCAGAGGGAGACTAGAGAGAGACCAGAGAGAGACCAGAGAGAGACCAGAGAGAGACCAGAGAGGGACCAGAAAGAGAGCAGAGAGAGACCAGAGAGAGACCAGAGAGAGACCAGAGAGAGACCAGAAAGAGACCAAAGAGAGACCAGAGAGAGGCCAAAGAGAGGCCAAAGAGAGAGACCAGAGAGACACCGGAGAGAGACCAGAGACCAGCTGTGTTTGAGTTGTTCACAGGGACTGGTCTCCTGCTGGTCCCAGAGTCAGGACTATAAAACATAGAACCTGTTTATTAGAATTTCTTTCACTTGAACAATCTGAACGACTCCTCAATTCTCTTTGTTTTTTAAATCTTTTCCCGGTCTTTGAATTGTGCTAAACCATTGCTTGACCTGCAGCAAGACCATGTGTGCAGAGGGTGATGGTGCAGCAGCAAGACCATGTGTGCAGAGGGTGATGGTGCAGCAGCAGGACCATGTGTGCAGAGGGTGATGGTGCCGCAGCAGGACCATGTGAGCAGAGGGTGTGATGGTGCCATAGTAGGACTATGTGTGCAGAGGGGGTGACGGTGCTGCAGCAGGACCATGTGTGCAGAGAGTGATGGTGCCACAGCAGGACCATGTGTGCAGAGGGTGATGGTGCCGCAGCAAGACCATGTGTGCAGAGGGTGATGGTGCCGCAGCAAGACCATGTGTGCAGAGGGTGATGGTGCCGCATCAGGACCATGTGTGCAGAGGGTGATGGTGCCGCAGTAGGACCATTTGAGCAGAGGGGGTGATGGTGCCGCAGCAGGACCATGTGTGCATGGGTGATGGTGCCGCAGCAGGACCATGTGTGCAGAGGGTAATGGTGCCGCAGCAGGACCATGTGTGCAGAGAGGGTGATGGTACAGCAGCAGGACCATGTGTGCAGAGGTTGATGGTGCCGCAGTAGGACCATGTGTGCAGAGGGGGTGATGGTACAGCAGCAGGACCATGTGTGCAGAGGGTGATGGTGCCGCAGTAGGACCATGTGTGCAAAGGGGGTGATGGCGCCGCAGCAGGACCATGTGAGCAGAGGGGGTGATGGTGCAGTGACTGAGATGGATGTGGTGAGGGAGGGAGAGGACGGGCTGCAGTGATGTCATGGTCCCACAGAGACTAGCGACTGGTGCGGCGCTGCAGCGAGACCACCACAGAGCTCTCACTCTGGGTTTACTGCAGCAGAGAGACCAGAGAGAGACCAGAGAGAGACCAGAGAGAGACCAGAGAGAGAGACCAGAGAGAGAGACCAGAGAGAGACCAGAGAGAGACCAGAGAGAGAGACCAGAGAGAGAGACCAGAGAGAGACCAGAGAGAGAGACCAGAGAGAGACCAGAGAGAGAGACCAGAGAGAGACCAGAGAGAGACCAGAGAGAGAGACCAGAGAGAGAGACCAGAGAGAGACCAGAGAGAGAGACC